TTCGATAAATTTGAACAGGCACCACATGGACCCAACAAATTCATGCCATCAAAAAAAAAGTCAAAAAGGAAGGAAGTTCCTTGATTTAATGGCCAACCAATATTGCCAACTATTCAAATTTTAGGGAAAAATTGCATCTGTTCAAATATTCAATCATAACCTTGCCATAGAACATTTAAGAAATTAAATAGGTCCTAGTTACACTAGAAGAAGAAAGGTCAAGGTTGACAGATGATTGTCAGAATAAAATGTTTACATTTTAGAATAAAATGTTTACATTTTCTGTAGGTTAACTTTAACCAAATTTTAAACTATTAAATTAACAACTTCTAAATCTATGTTGGATGAAATGCAAAAGAAGTACAGTTTTGTGAAAAACTTCAAAACCACAGAGCTGGGCTGCAAGAAAGAATGGAGCCAAGAATCCATCGCGCTTGCAACCGAAAGACGTGCTATTCAGTGGTACACGGACGGTTCCAAAACCATAGAAGGAACTGGAATAGGAGTGTATGGGCCGAGAACCAAGCACTCCGAAAGCTTGGGAAAATACCCAAGCATCTTCCAGGCGGAAATTCACGCCATCGAGAAGTGTATCCAGTTTAACATCGAGAGAAACTATCATAGACAAGAGATTATCATCATGTCCGATAGTCAAGCAGCCATCAAAGCGCTGAGTTCTTACGTAATCAGCTCAAAAATGGTATGGAGATGCCTAGAACAATTGAATGAGCTAGGCGAGAAAAATAGAGTTACTCTCACTTGGGTCCCGGGACATAACGGGGTACAGGGTAACGAGATTGCAGATAGTCTTGCAAGGAAAGGGGCTCAAACACCCTTTGTAGGACCTGAGCCGTTCTGCGGTATCAGCAGTAACATATTATTAGAAGAGATTAAAAAAGAATTGGGTAGTAGAAGAACCGATAATTGGAACAATCTCTTGGGGCTGAGACAGGCCAAGATACTTCTGGGTGAATATAACCAAAAAAGATCGGGAGCCTGCATCTGCCTGAGCAAGAACAGGCTACGTATTGTAACAGGAATCCTTACCGGGCACTGCCGACTAAAAGGACACCTAAGTAAACTGAGAGTAGTAGAGGATAGTGAGTGCAGATTCTGTGAGGAGGAGGACGAAACCTCCATTCACATCCTAACTGAATGTGTAGCACTCCAGAATCCAAGGGCACTATATCTAGGAGGATATCAAATAGAAGAGGGAGACTTACCTAACTTGAAGCCACTTCAAATCCTACACTTCCTTGAGAAAATAGGATTGGAAGGGTCGCTATAGGCATTGAGACATTTCCTTAGTGCAGTGGCGACAGAAGGGGGCACAATAGATCTTTTAGGTCGCAGTGTATTAACACCCCATTATCAACATAACATCTATGTTTTATTTTCAAAAGAGTAAGTTTCATTCAACTTTATATAACTTGTGAAAATGTATATAATTTAATCGATTAATATATTTTCTACTATTTAAATTAAGACCGTAACAATCTTCTTGTTTTACTAGTACTCTTACTTATGATGACCGCAGCACACTGTGGGGGTGATGTCCCAGTAAACCACAAATAGTCGGCATTCGCTCGGCCTGCCACCGGCATGTACGGGAAGCCGAATACTCGGATTGCCATTTTGTGAGAGGTTTTCTCAACTGGTTAGAAATACTCTCACTTGTGACGTTCGAACTGGGTATGCTCGGGCGCCAGTTTGTTTTAGAGTGGTTTGCTCCACTTTACCTATTGGAACTAGTTCCAAGTACTAAAGGTAGCTGCAGTGGGGCAAGAAAATGTCAGAGGGTCAACGCTATTTCAGTATTTACGTATGCCCTGAAAGAGAGACAAGGGAATGAAATGCCAGGTTTCAATTTGACACATATATTGTTCGGTAGTTACAATCGTTTCGGTTAATATACATTAACGCTAAATAATTATATTTACAAGCCCTCCCCAAGTTATTGAGTTTAACCCTGAACAAAATAAAAAAAAATCGTAACGGGAGTTAATGGGCAAAATAAAATAAAAACTCAATCGGAGAAAAACGGTGTCGGGAAAACAGCGGTCAAACCAGCAGTACTACGCGGCGTTGTAGCAAGTCTACGGTCTTCGTCAGGGCGAACTTTCGGAATCATGAATTTCTCCTCTAAGCGTCTTAAAGCTTTTGACTATTCGGTTATCCCTAAATATAGAGACACGGAGGGGAGTGGACAAGAGCGGATGTAATGTACAACAGAGAAATTGCAAATCTAGCTACGGCCTAACGGACCACAAGATTAATATCCTGGCGACGCAACCCCTGAGTATGACGCTCCCGGCTATGTGACCTCGTATAAACCAGACTCTGGGAGCGAAGCCGAATCAGCCCATTCTACTATGCGGGATAGTCACTATACATCGACTTACAATTCAGAGTCCAGTCAACTGGTCGGGAATTCACTAAGAGTCTAAGTAACGGTGGGGACATGGATCAGAATCAATAAACAAAAGAACGTTAACCGCGGAGCTAAAGAAATTTTCGAGAGAAATATAGACTTGTACTAAACGGCAGCGAAGGTAGCTAAGCTTCACCTCTGAGTTGACTACCAAATTAACCCATTCTACAGCGGGAGTAGTCACTGTCTTCAATAGCAACTCAGACGATACTCTAGTTCACGGAATTTTATAACGGAATGTACCAAAGAACCGGGAGGACCGTACCATTTGACGTAATTTAGAAGTAGAAACCGCATGTGGTCCATATTTGGCTTTCCCGACATGGGAGACATCCATACGGGCCGAACGCGGTGAATATTTGGCTAGCTGGGCATCCATACGGGCCAAACTATATAAAGATATATGAACGCAGCTACAATGTACCCAGACAACACACCAAATCCCAGAGATATCCACAGAATATATTTTGTGGATATCCAATATATCCACAGGATATCAGAAATATTCCGTGGAACTAATATGGATATCCAAATGTCCGTCTATATCCAGAATATAGAAGATATCCTATGGATATTCAGCAAAATATCTAATGAGTATCTCCAGACAATACAAGAAATCCCAGATATATCCATAGAATATATTTTGTGGATATCCAACCAAATGTCCGTCTATATCCCAGGATATAGAAATTCAGATAAATATTTTATAATTATTTTTAGTAGAGGTTCATAAGTAACCAATTGTTATTAAATAACGTCGAAAGAAAATAGAGGTAAAAAATATTCCCAACAATCTGCCTTTGATTTTGCCTACTATGGAGAAAATCATCCTTATTAGGAATCTTCAGTAATAAATGGAACTTCTCGACTTCACTCTCTAATGAAGTCTGTTTGTGAAACAATGTCGATCAAACTCAATTACGGCGGGTTAAGCATGAGTAGATACGAAAGTGGTATCGCCATCTATACTTAGGAAGCAAAATCAAAAATTACATCTAGTAGATATCCACGATGGTTTGCGTCCGCGCTTAGACTTTGATATATTTATATTTATAGTGGATGTCCATGGGATATTGAATACACCTTAAAAAAAATTAATTTTAAATATCTCAACGGTACTATTAGCCACAATGGCGAGTACAATGGCGTAATTTTTTAATAATTTGCTATATAATTACAATTATTTATGGACATTTGCATGTCTATAAATTACATTTCATGGATATAAAATAGATATCCACCATGGACTGGACATTCAGTGGAAATTGGGATGTTCAGTAGATATCCAAAGGATTTGGTGTGCTGTCTGGGTAGTGGGCTGCCGACATTCGGCTGGGCGAACATGCCCTACCTATATGCCGAAGCTGCACCCATATATCGAGCCGAGTCGGGCATCCGGCAAGCCTCCTTCGGCCTAGTTACGGTGCCGACTAACTGTGTTTATGGGGGGGGGGGGTGACATTACAATTCTTTTTGTATTTGTACGTGTCCTATAACAACCGCAAACTACTGCAGGGTAACAGTATATTAAACAGTATTGTTGTGTCAGTTTTCTCTTCGGGTGGGGTAAAATTAATTTTTCTTGTTTATTTTTGTTTCTTTGGCCAAAAGTTTATATTTTATATTTTTATGTTAAAGTTTCCTCTGAAATGTTGCAAAAGTATACGTTTTGGTTAAGATTCGTTTTAAAAAATGCTATTTTTTTATTACATTTGTCTAGTTCTATAAGATGTGTCATTTTGTACACCCTTCCCCTACATTTGTATTTATCAGACAAAAGCGTAATACCCTGTACATTTAAAAATAGTTTTAAAGAATGCCTTTTTTAAACCCTTATAATTTTTATTTGAAACTTAACGTATTATTAACACAAATTGAAATATTGAACAATTACGCACTAATGGGACCTCCTGTATATTATAGAATTAATTAAAAAAAAACTGTCAAATAATAATTACAAGTTTGTAATAAAGCTGCCTGTTTGTTAGATTAGATTGTTCTCGAGAAGAAGAGATGCGATTTTTATGCTTCATAAATCACAAGATACATATTGTTCGATTTATGGGACTAGTATTTATTAGTTGTAAAAAAAACTTTCATCGTTTAATTATCTATAAAATATAGCCCAAAAACTTATTGTTTATCTTTGTTACAATTTGTAGTACAAAAGATATAACAATTATGAACATATTAATCAGTATAAAAATAAATAACCAAATAAACAATTTATACTTGTTTTTTTAATTATGTAAGTCACTAAAATATAAATCAGTTTTTCAAAAAAAAAAAAAAAAAAACACAAGTAAGTAAAACAAGGATTTAATCCTGTTTATTTCGGTGGCCACGCAAAAAAATGTGGCTTTATCGACATGGACCAGTTGCGTGGCCACCGAGATCGACAGACATAAATCCTTGTGATTTTTTTACTTTTGAGTTTTTTAAAGTTGTTTTCTTTAACGACTTCTGTACACTGTTAAAAAAGAAGTATCAACTTAGGAATCACCCTACCCTGTAAGTTAATTAATGTTAAACTGGGCCTCAAATTCATTTTTACAACCTTGATACTTACTTTGTACCTAATTCTGCAATCGTTTCTTCTTTGCCATACAACATAATATTACCATCCTTCTTCTCGTCTCCAACAGAAAGGAATAGAAAGACATCCGTTGGTCCCAACTCTCTTATAAAAGTATTCATGAAATCAATTTCTGCATCTTTTCTGTGCAAACAAAAATATTTCGGAAGCGGTTGTGAATTTTTTAATTTTTGGGCATCCGATAAAGCCAATTCCTTTAGGGCGCTTTGTAGATTCTTGTTAAGGAGTTTTACATTTTTTTGGAGTTTCTCCACTAAATCACAATGTTGCGCTGGATGGTTGCTATATATTTGTTTAAATATAAAAAAATTAAGTTTTAGAGGAGTAAAATCGGTGTAAAATCGAAATTTTCGGAGCACGTAAACAGTGAAAAGAATTTCATTATTTTTTTACATTGTGATACTAAGACTTAATGCTAAAATGCCAACTGATTAAAATGTGTTGTAAAAAACATATTACGTGGAAGGTTTTCTCTCCACAGAGATACTGGTATTTACTTTTGACGTCTTACAATCGAAAATCACTCGGGCGCCAGTTTTATTAACGTGATTTACTCCACAACTATCCCCGTTTCAGCTTGCAAAAGGGATCGGGTAGCTTCAGATGGTGTTCAAAAATGACAAGCATTTTTTAGATACGTCAGTTACTCTTATAACCCATCTTGCATAAATAATAAAAAAAAGAAAGGCAACATAAAAATAACATCATAGTTCATTATTCAATCCATAGTTTGCATTACCTAATTTATTAAAATAAAATCAAAATCATGTTTCAATCACATAAAAACAATATTGAGCCACCCTGTGGCACAGTGTCGCGAAAACCGCAACCCTCTATCTCTATCTAAATAACGGAGATACCCCACAAAAGTATCCAAAATGGGACACCCTGTGCATACAATATAAAAGTTATTTTTAGAATCGACTCATCTTACCAACACACATCAAACTTTAAACACCTAAATTCGCTTAGCAACAAAAATCGTTAGAACAAAAGGTTTCTCTTAATAATTCAAACCACAGCTATCTCTTCATATAAATCTATTTCCGTCACTCTCATTCAAGCAAGCAAATAAAATGATTAGCCAGCAAAGGCATTGTCTCTCCCGTTAAGATCATACGATGTTCTATCGGTCAATAGAAATTTAACACCGTAACTCACGTAACCAAGCCAAGCGCAAAGCTTCGGTCTACACAACAGAATCATTTTTGCCAGTGAACAGTACACTTCAATTTTCAATTTCTTTCTTGCAACACAGTAAGATAATATTATAAGCCAACGTTTGATTACAAAATATTACGTAAACTATTAGATTAAGTACAGTATTCACAAATGTTAAAGAATATGTTAAAGTTTATTAAGATTTAAATGAACAAGTTAAAGGAAGGTACATTTTTAATTTCAATATCAGTGAAGATACATTTGAAATCCAGAACTTATTGCTACACGGACCGCCTATAGCCCGCCCATTATAGTTCATTCAGGAAGGAAACCTTTGCGTGACGTGGAAAGTAAGTACAGAAAATCCACAAGCTCGCATCAGATGGAGATATGGGAAATTTCAGGAGTCAAGTTGTTAACAGACTTTAATGTTTAGGAAAGTATCAATATCGGGCTTCAATCGTTGACATGAGAAAGAATTCCCGGAAGCTGAAAAGGTTTAAATAGGGTCGATATACCGTTAAATGACCGGAATTACAAGCCAATGAGGTAAAACTAATACATATATTGCTTACCAAAGCTATTTACTTGTAAATTAGAATTTAAAATATTGAAAGTCCCACCCCGGTGAAAACCTGAACAAAATAAATGAAAAAAAATATTCGATCGGAAAAGAAAAAAATAGCGACACGGAAGGGATCTCAATCAAACGGTAACAATAAACTATATTAATTCGGGGAAAATAAATCTGTATCTCTAATCTCACAAATTGTATCACCACTAGGACCTAAAATGCTGTTTAGTAATTTTAAAACAAGTTATACGAATAAACATGTCAATAAAAAAATGAAAATGTAACCCAACAAATACTTGTCAAGTACAGATACGTCTTTTTAAGATTGTCATAAGCATTTTCCACAGTTAGGAGCCTATCCTCTAAATGTTTCTGATCTTCTATTATAGACTACTTTGAATATATATTAAAAGGATCTTCTATTATAGATTACGACTAAGAAAAGTAACAATTACAATTTGGTCCAAATATGTTGGGCAAAGCTTAAATTATAAATAGTGATAATACTTTTTATTTTTCAGAGAATTCGAACGAGGAACTGTTTCAGTGAAGAGAATAACTGATTTTTTTAAATTTAAGTTAATTTTAATTTTTATCCATAATGATGTGACGAAGTCACTAAATTTTCTTTTAGTTAAATTATAAAAATGTTTAATTAAAGTTAATTTTCTTTAGTTTAATTTTAAAAATGTTTAAAGTTGATTTCCGCTTGATAACGTTCTCAAGAACCCCCGTATTTTTATTTCTTAAAAATTCCCGTTTTTGAAAATTTGCCGCTGCTTTTTCCGCTGTATTTTTCAAGTGCTAAAGTTAGGTTAAAACCGTTTGCCGCCAGTAATCTCATTTTTATTATCGACACCGACTGTGTGAAAGCCGTAGAAAATATAAGGTAGGATTCTTTCATTACTAGCCTTTGCCATTTGGATTTAATTTGTTATCATCTGAATCGACCGTCAATTGTTAGGAATTAACAAAAATCATTTGTGATAGTCCGAGAAAATTCGCTTCCATAAAGTCGAACTTTATATCGTTAGGATTTCGGAACTTTCGTAAGATAAACCAGTCCATCAAATATTGTAGACTGGTTTCAACGACGGAACTTTTTATTGTCGAAATATTCATTAAATTTTCCCCTTTTTAACGAATACCATTTCGTGAGTTTTGAAGTTACGTAAGCGAAGCAAGTCCAGTATTATCGTAGTCTTATTTCGCCGGCTTAATTTCTCAACATCCAAGGTCTCCCGAGTCGTTAAACTTTTCACTACTTCGGCAATCAGTGAAATTTGTAATTCACTAAGAAACGTCCATCACGATGTAACGATATTCTCTAATCCGTCACTGCTTCGACTGTAGTAAACCGCATCTATTGAAAAATAATCTTTCAACAAGTGACTTTTCGTCAGAAATCATTTTTTCGAAAATCGGACCACTATCACTGGGCTAACACAAAGTTACTTAACACCTTCTTTTTTAAATTTTTCATTTATCGCGTGGAAAATAAACATTGTCGATAGCGTTGCCGAGTTAAATATTGAGGACGTATTCAACCTGATTGTTTTGAAATTATTTCTGTCACCTGTATGTTATTAATTGACTCTTATTCAGGATACTGTGGGTAAATTTTCGTCATACTATTTATTTATTTTTAATTCTCTAGGTGCACTTAAGGGTCGCAGAGTAAACTGCGTAATCAAAACTGGCGCCCGGGCAATCCTTGTTCTAAATAACGGTCTGTCGTTACCCAAGACTTCCACTTCCACGCAAATGAAGCAAGAAGACGTATCACAATGTCAGTAAAATTATTTTTTATTAGGTTTTTAAACTGACGTGCCTCAAATTGACCACAGTATTTCTTCGTTTTCGTATTGAACAGCTCTCGTTTATATAAAATTACTATACACCACATTAGTGATGACGTAATTTATTTTCCACCGACAAGTGTCAGTAGACTTATAAAAATAGATGTTATATGTATTCATTAATATGTTATTTCTATTATTTTCAAGACTGTATTCATTTTAACAATAAAACCAATGAGGTTACATACCTTTTTTTACGACCAGTCAACAAAATTAAAAAACCAGAAACGTTGTCAAATTCAATGACAATGGTTTTTTTTTTTTTGTTAAAACAGTGAAACACAAATTACGCCACACTAATATGGAGTATTAACTGATGCTACTATTGAAATAGAATAAAGAGATGCTAAAGTGTCTGCACCTTTGCTAGTCAGTTTTGGTGATGCCATTTTTTTAAATAGCTTTATTTAAATGATCATTTTCTTTCTGTCAGTCTTCAAATATAAAATTATTGACTTCAAATAAATCAAAGTACGATTCAAATCGCCATTTTCATTACACTCCATCTGTCATATCGCAAAATAGTGTTTATGTCGTCTCTACTTTATTCTATCTCGATGGATGCTACAAACAAATGTCGGAATTTTGATTTAAATTATAAAGTGTTTACTTACTTTAGTAGTACAGTTAATTGCTTTTCACGGTCTATGCAGGTTTCCAGTCTTTTTAAAACTCGATTTCCACATAAGAAATGAAGCAAAACTTTATCTTTACGTTTGCTTTTTTCAGTATGTAACAATTTTAACATTTGTAACTGGCTTAGATTATTTACATGTGTTCCGCAACACATGTTACTATCGATTCCATCAATATTTATAACTCTGATATCGCCTTTATGATCCTCAGGAAGACCTTTCACACTTCTTACCTAAAATATATAAATTCATTGAAATAGTATTTAATATAGAAGAAAAATGTATCTACTGAGAGATCAGGGGACCGTTCATCCCCGAGTATATTCCAAGTAAAACCAAATTTTGTAAAAAAAATCAAAGACAACAATAAACTACTCTGAAAATGAACCTGGTTTCTTTAAAATACATTTATTTCTTACTAGTTGTTATCTTCAAAGAAATTATTGAAACAATTCTTTTAGCTGAGTATTAATCAGACACAATAGGCATTTTCATCATGTGATGAGCGCAAGCGCAGCCGCCATTTCGTACTTTTTTAATCAATAATGGCTGGAAAAGCAATATTATCTCTACAGACAAATCAATCATTAGAAAAAATCGTTGATGGTGATTTACTTTTTTATAACTATGTGGACGCCCATAGTTGTGAACAATTGAAAAGGTGCTTAAAGTTTCATGAACGTTCGCAAAAAGGGAAAAAAGTGTACTAATTAAGAGGTTAGATATCAATACTTGTTTACTGTGTAAAAAATTAATGAAAACAAATAATAATAATTATAACTCTATTTTAATTAAATATGCCAACCAAATATTAGTACTTGCAAAAACTCTTTAAGTTAATCACGAGTATAATTAATAAAATAAATTATTTATTACTTTGAGGATCCACATGACTATGTATACCGAAGTAAGTAGTATTTAATATTAAAAAAAAAATGGTGTAATACAAGATAATGATTTTCTTCTGTTGGACCACTTTCTCCATGATAATGTAGAGAACAAATAGTAACATAATCAATCGATCGAATACCTTTGTCACTTATAAGAAATAAGTATTACCTTTGAATGATTTATACCCTGTATCACTTTTACATACTCCTTAATAACACCGTTTTGTTCCGTACAAATAATTCAATTTTATAACTGATTGCAAAAATTTATTTTTCAATTTAAGAGACTTATTACTTTATTGTCTTCTTCTTTTTTTAAAATGATATAATTAAAGTAATATTTATCAATTATAATTTTTTGACGTTGGCATTTTAACAGTACGAAAAAAATGGCTGATACTGACGCATGCGCCCAAAAAAGAATATGATGAAAAAAGATATTACCCAGACAGTACACATGGTCCAATGGACGTCCATTTCAAGATCAGAACTTCCATGGCCGTATTCGGACGGACAGTATATATCCGTTTTTGGAAGTAAGCTTAAGTTTAGTACAACTAGGACATTATTTATGTAGCTTAATAACTATACAAAATATAATTTGTGATTGAAAATTTAATCTATTTGATTTCATTCGACCAGCGGAGGTTTGAAACATTAACAGTTAGTATGGCGGATTGCGAAATTATTAATTGAATTATTAATAATTCAAATAAATGCCACCGTGTGGTGATGTACTTCAGTGGCGGCTCGTGGGCACTAGCGGCAGTGGGGCACACACTGGAAAGGAATCCCGGGATTCGTTTTTCCCTTAGGAAAACAAGTTCTCCGCTTAATGAAAATTAAATATATTTCAAAACAATCAGTTGGGGCAATAACGATTTCTGAATGTGACTACAGGGAGCTAAATGTGACCACTGAAAATGCATTTAACTATGTATGTGGCTATTTATTCAAAAAATCATTACATATCCACTCTTGCGAAATTTGCGTAAATTTCTCAGAAGAATGCAATTTACTTAACAATTCTAACTTGTTAACGCATTTTAAAGCATACGACTCTGAAGAAAAGGTGTTTGCCAATTTAAAATCTCCCAGCAAAAAATGTCTCTTTTATATTTTCAAATTAGAAAAAATATTTATATCTCTATTTGATAGTTTGTCAACTAAGCCTGGAATTTCCAACGCATACCTTTTTGAGATAAGCAAAATAGTATTTGGTCATCCTTGCCAACAATTTGCGAAAATGTACACCATTAAATTATTTAGAATTTTTATACTCTTAAATATGCAAACAGAAATTTGAAATCCTCGAAAAAGTCAGACAAAACCAAAAGAAAAATTAAAATTTTGTCCCATTTATCATATTTTTGACTGCTTTATATAAAAAAAGTTATTTTTCTTTGTAGTTTTATTTCTTAACTATTCCAATGGTCCAACTAACGTTTTTTCGTAATCACAATGAATAAATTATTATCATGGTCCAACAAACGCGCACCTTAAACCGAAACCGGCATGGCCTTTGTGAGGGAGCCGGTAAAGATGTCGCTGCGTACATTCGTATCTAATCTAGGTAATCTGTGCCATGGGTACAGCACGTCACGATGAGGACAGCGCCCTGTTTGTGACGTATAATCAATCCATCGCATGTGTTCATCTCTTGCTAAGCGATATTGTCGTTGTCCTTGTTTTCGGCATCATGAGAGAGAAAACAAGAAAGGCACACATTTACTGTGCCCTGTGCCCACTTAATTTCGGAATTCTCGGAACGTCGCTCAACGCTCGGTCGTCCATTGTCGTGCGCTGAAATGGGCATTGAGGAAAATATAAAATATGTAAGTTATTTTTTTTTGTTTATTAAACTAGGGCATGTGCCCAAGTGCCCTTACGGGCAAACCGCCACTGCTTCTGACAAAGCTACAGAGTGTCAACTTTACAAATTAATTTTAAATTGAAACAATAGAAATTTACCTATTTCAGACGAGTAACGAGTGGGAACAATATTTTGTGTTATATTTATTGATAGTAAATTAAATTCAATGTGTTATGTGTTTTTTTAATAAAGTTATTTTGATTATTGTTTTCTTCGTTTCTTAATTAGCAAAAATTTTCCTGTCCAATTTTCAGGTAGTTTTAAAAAATAAAAATGACTCCAAAAAATCGATTAATAAAGAAATAAATAGGAATTTTTGTCCAATTTAAATGCCAAAAAATCGATTAAAAAATAAAAATATCATAATTCTTTGTTAACCGTTTAAGTATTAATGATTATTTAAACCGTATGTGAAAATTTTAACCAAAAACCTTGTATTTTGTTAAAAAATAACAGGTTTTCTTCTCTCTTGAAAATTTCTCCAAAACGGAAAGAGGCGTTTTTCTTATTAGGACGACGAAATGCAAATCACAAATGAAAGCTCCGAGCAACTATCCAAAGACCCACTAGAATGCTAGACTAAATTCGTTGAAGTTTGAATACGTTTTCAGGATTTAGCGCGTATACATATGTAAAAATTGTGATCAGTTATTTTGTGCTAGGTAAATTGGTATTTTTAATTTTATAAATTATTTCTTTGACATTAAAATAACACCCTGTGCATAAACATTGCTTAATTTATTCACGGATTTGTTTTATGTTGCTACTAAGGTTAATTATTATGAAATAATGTTAAAAATTGAAAGTTAAGCTACAATATGGCTAAAATACAACGATCGAATTTTATACAATAGATCTACAGTTGTCCACTAAAAAGCCGGGAAAATTAATTTTAATTTCGTATTATGCCAACAATTTACGGTTAACATAATAATTAGTTGTGGTTATATAACCCAACAAACAGAGGTAATGGAAACCGAAGCGATTCCAGAAGAATTAACTTCGTCTCCATCAACATCTGCGCAAAATCCTGAGGGAAGTGATAACGCGGAGCAATTTTCGGAGGCAAGTGGCAGCTCCACAAACATCAAGGACGAAAGTAGCCTAAAACTAGTTGCCACAACACTCAACAGGACTCACCTGGAGCCGCTTGAGCGGCTTTCGAGCACCCAAAAGAGGAAATTGGCAATTCGGAAGGCTAAGGCTGAAGGACGGCCAATCAGACTCAGGGCTGAGAGAAGGACGGAGAAGAAAGGACCTAACCGAACTCCGAAACAAACTCCCAACTCAAACGGGGCCGCCTCCAAAGTGACAGTCCGTCTTCAACGTAAGAGATCACCACAAGAAGGCTAAAACCGGGTCGGACAGAGCAGAGAAGGTGGCTTGTCCTATAAAGAGCACTAAGGCAAGTGGTACGTGTCTAGAGAGCCGTTGCTCTCAAATCATCGGCATATTCTCATGGAAATCGACGCCAATAAACCAGAAGATGTATACCGAGACTCACATTAAAACCCATTGGTTTGGATACGAGGTAAAGCTGGGAGGAGTGTTAGAAACCGTTAAAACAACTCTTGATACTAAAAAATGATATAGATGAAGTTGCATAATAACTACGGCACGCAATCATAACATTATATCACAATAAGTTTTCGTTAAAGAACAGGGAAACTTCGAGGGAAGTGAGCTGGTGGAACCGACAGAAAACACACCGGAAAGAACGCCTTAGGAACCCTTGGTAGGGAACTTAGTGAAACTAACCAAACACAAAGATTTTACCTGAATACGGGAAAAGCAGGAGAGTACAATAGACCCAAGATGTCGTAGAGTTCTGAGCCAAATATAATCCTACCTGCTTACAACCAACAAAGATAAAGATAATCTAATCTAGCTAAATTTCGGCTAAAACATAATTACGAGATTTTTTAATAAAACTACCCAAAAAATGTACAACGTGGCAAGGGCATAATGATAAAATACATACCTCGTTTAGAATATTTTCAGGTGTGTTCTTTGGGTAGATGGTTACAGACACTTTTCTTCCTTCTCTTATAAGTTCATTCACCATGTTTTCAGCTTGTTTTATTACATCACTAGATAATGAATGGGTATCTGAAAGTACAGTTTTAGAAAATGTTATTGATAAAAAAAAAAAACATAAACGTATAACTCAAAAATATATATCCGAGTTTCACAATTTTAGCGAGATCGCTCTATCTCTCTCCTGGAAGTAGTAACCGAGATTGCTATCTCTATCTTTCTTACAAGCGGTAGCTTCTGTACTAAAATCATACCTCGACACTAGGAATGGTCTTTCGAGTTGATGTAACTATATTTCCTATACTTACGGCAAGAAAAAACTAGCCACCTTAAATATTTTAGTAAATTTTGTTTGTTACTACGCTTACTCACCTACTAATGGTTTGTTTACAATTATTAAAGTTCTAAATTCACAGATCTTCTACAAATTTTATATAAAAACTGAAAAATTAAAATATCATTGTGAGATTCAAAGGACCTTTTTCTTCCCTACCCTTTCATTTAATTAACCAACTCACACATGGCTACGCCAAGTTTAAATTAAAATAAAGCGGACAGAATATGTTTACATATTTTAATTTAGTATATAAATATACCTAGTTCAACATATGAGCTTTCCTCTCCCAACCACCAGGAGACTGTTGGCGCATTAAAATGCTGTTCAAGAACGGCTGACAGTAAATGTTGTCCTGAATGCTGTTGCATATGATCAAATCTTCTTTCCCAATCAATAGTTTGTTTAACAGTTGTTCCTATTTCTATCGGATTAGACACATAATGGATGGCTTGATCTTCGCGCCTTAAAACTTTTCTCACCGGTATATCATTTAAAAAACCATAGTCACAAGGCTAAAATATTTTATAAAATAAAATATAGAGAATTATTAAAAAAAAAATAATTAAGAATCCTCAAGAAAGTACATAAATATAGAAGATGTCACAAAAGATGAGGGCAGTATTTCGGATTCAGACAGAATACATAAAAATAACATCAGTTCCTGTATTTTTTTCTATCTCCCCCTTCCCCATATCCCCCTACGGAGATATGTAGATGCGGACACATAACGGACGCCGCTGGAAACTTATTAGAAATTATTGAGTATGAAAAAATATAGAAACTTGTGTTATGTTTGTGTGTTCTATCTGAATCCAGAATTGTAGATTTTCATCAAGATTTCAAAACAAATATTACCTGGCCTCCTCCTTCTGGAAATAAAATTGTATCTTCCAAAATGACACCATAACTTTGATTTTTGTCTTCAATAACTTCTTCGGCATTTATTTTATTACATGCAATTACTGTTGAAGTAAACTATAACAGAAATGTATAAAACTAGTCACTAAACCATAATTAAAATATAAAGTGGGTTCATTAATCTCTCAAAAGTATTGACAGACAGAAAAGTGTTAAATAGAAAAGTATTATTTCATTTTCCTAGGTTTTCTCTTTGTAAATAATTTGGTCAAACGGCTGAACTAACAAACAATGTATAACTGTAAGTTACAAGTCAGTAAACTTTAATGAATATCCAATAGAGATTGGTGATGGTATTTAATCACTGATATTTAGGTAAATACAAATGATTTATAGTGTGTGTTGGAAATGCTTCCAAGATTTCATTAGCACATCAGGCTAGCCCAGCTCCGAGGGCCAAACCGATCAATCAATTAATAAACACTTAATTCTACTACTAATAATAATTTAATTAATAATTCAAATACCAAAAATAATGAACCGCCCCAGCCCGTCGAATTTATTGTCGCTATTGCACGCTAAAAACTAAACAATATAAAACCGTGCCAAATAACAAGCATGACTAAGCGCCTAGAAAATTCGAAAGACCACAGGAGGGATTAAATGCATAAATAGCTGACGCCATTCTTTCGCGGGCCAGAATGCATCAAATTAGTCATGGGAGGAATCGGGTGTATTCAAGAATCAAGCACTAAGGAATCGAGTACTTCACGGAATCGGATATTTTCTTGAATACCGAGTGTGCAGGACACGGCCTAAAATACGTAGTTTAATTTATCAGTGGACTGTATAAAGCGATGGACAACGACTCGTGGCTGCACAAGATGTTTCGATTTTTAAAATACATTTCAAAATAAGGAGGGCATATGAATAAAAAATTAATGTTAATAAATATCTACCATATTCCGTATTGGAAATAATTAACATAAAAGCCAAGCGACTCAGCACACAATATGGCAACAATGTTAAATTAACGTAAAACCAAAGAGTACAAAATAAAACTATAAAAGAGAAGTCACTCGCGGCATTTACAAAGAAAATCGCGCTTCAAATGCGGGCCGACAAGTTAGCGTTTTTTCAAAGAGTACAGAGGTAATTGGGCTATACCGGGGTTAAGCGGTAAGACGCGGCGGCGATGATAGTGGAATGTAACGGCCAATACACAGCGGAATCTAACGTAGCAGAGCAAACTAGCCTTACGCGTTGAACCGGTATACTGCCGATCGAGAAAGGACTGTGGAGGACTGGCGGCTGATCGCGTTAGAAGGCGGTAATTGGGCGAGTGACTCCTCTTTTATAATTATATTTTGTACTCTTTGGTAAAACTAACAAAATGGTGGCATAATTACCAAGGAAAATTAAGTTGCATATATGAATATTTTAGGGAACTTCCAGACTTTTTCTTATCAGTGCAAAGCTTACATGATATAATCCTTAAAACACTGCACTTCACAATTTAAATAATAGTACTTTTACTGATTTGTGAGATACAATTCTGAGAGGTTACCGGCTTCGCGTCACCACCGAATAAAAGTGTTTAAAAGAGTTACTCTGAGAGAAAATAAAAGGGTTTCTTTAAAGGTACATACACTAACACACACGTGATTATTGTTGAACTTTTAGGGTAAACTGCTTTTTTACTGCATCCATTCGTGACACATCCGTCCTGCACCGCCAGGAGCAGATAATGCTTGACAGTAGTTATTTCCCCCGTTTTTACAGGAAACCGAGTTGGCGGATATTCATCGGTCATTGACAATTTGCCGCGGTAAATTTAAATTTAAACTTCCGTTGAGAATTACTTGAATTCTCAACACCGAGTACTGAGTACTTAACGAATTCTTTTCACCGTATAAACGATTAAGGTTTTACAATGATTTTTAAGTATGACATTTATTTTTCTGATAAAAATCGTTATAACTAAACAATAATTTTTTCTATAAAATAACATGTTTAAAAAATATTCTGCGACTACCGGACAAAAAAAGTATCTCAAAATGGATGGAGGGTGTAAGTCAGGAACTGAAAACATACCCCAGGGCTAATTCATTCGAAGGCGTTTATGCCCAACCTTTCCATGAACACCTTCAGATGTGGTAATAGAGTAGGAAATATGTACGCATTCTCACGGGATTGATGACAGGACATTGTCGTCTAGGTAATCACATGAGAAGGATAGGTCTGCAACACACATCGGACTGTCGATTCTGCAGGATGTAAGATAAAGATGCAGAGCACATTCTACGTATCTGCTCCGCCTTGAAAAGAACTAGGTTCCAAATCTTCGGATTCACCCGACTGGAACCTACCGACTTTAAACAACTCTCATCCAATTCAACCATGACCTTCATTAAAAGGTGTGGCGTGTACAGTGAAGTATAAGTTAGACATGAGTCACAATAGATCCATCTGGGTAGCAGTGGAAGGCGATGAAATATGCGCTAGTTCAGTGATGATGTAATTATGGTTCCACTGACAATTAAAGTGACAGTAAATTTTTTGAGTGCGTGTTGTTCATTTTGTTTACCTAAATTATATCGTTTTTTTCACTTTTATAAATATATTCCTAAAGTAAGTAGATAGCATGTATCAAATATACAATCGTTTAGTTACCAATTACATACCTTTAAACTATTTTTATGACCTATAAACAATATTTTGAAATAAAATAAAAACAGTAAAAACGTATATGTCAAATGGGCCCGTTCACTTTCATTTTTGAATGTGAATTATTTATATATTTATAAAGATATTAAACTCTTTTGTCTGGTGGTACTTTTCCCGTTAAGATATTTTTGCTAGAAGTAAGGGAATTCCCATAAAATTCTTTCAGTGACTCATTGCGTCAGAAAACCCCTAATTCCCTTCAGGTCTTGTATTGGTTAATAGTTAAAAGAGCGCGGTTGTCGGATGTATCATTGCACCACCATTCCTCTTCTGCGTTTATTAAAGAAATTTACATGATAAAAATATATTATTTTTTAAAAATAATGTGTTTATATTTTCAGATAAAGCTGGAAACCTTACCTTTTTTAAATTTTAATAAAAACAATTAGTATTACTCAAGCTGAATATTACCAGATCGAAATTTTATTTGAGAAAATGTATCTGGTAAACGTGACAACGTTGTAAGTCTTCTAAATAGTGTTGTCTACACACACTTCTAGAAATAAATGCAACGTTGCCACGTTTACCAGATAAATATTGCAAATCAAATTTCTACTTTTTGATTATGGTCTGGTTAATTTTCAGCCTGAGTAATAATAATTGTTTTAATTAAAAAGTAAAAAATAAGCTCCCAGCTTTAAATCTGAAAATATAAGTTCATGATTTTTAGAAAAATAATGGAATTTTACTATTTAAATTACATATATAAATGCAGAAATGCTATATTAGGGATACTTCCGACAACCTTGCCGTCTTTAAACATAACCGATACGAGACGTGAACGGAATTAGGGATTTTCTGACGCAATGAGTCACTGAAAGAATTTTATGGATTCCCTTACTTCTAGCAAAAATATCTTAACGGGAAAAGTACCACCAGACAAAAGAGTTTAATATCTTTATAAATATATAATTAATTCACATTCAAAAATGAAAGTGAACGGGCCCATTTATTGATGTTTTTGTTAAAAGTTTGGTTAGAATTAAATGTCAGTGGAACCAAAATGACATCACACTGAACTAGCGCATGCCCACTCATTTTCAACCTAATCTATGAGTATCACATCTCAAGTGAGCTGTCACAATTAATAAGCCTCACGTTGGGAACCATATTGTCATGATATAAGTTATTTCAAATTTTAATTATTTTATTTAAATTGTATAATTATTGTTTTATTCTACAATCAATGATATTTTTTTTATAAAAGAACTCCAAAATATACGTCACTACTGTAATATTGGTAATATTTTTAATTCTATATTGACTTAACTTTAATGTCAAAATATACTCATAATAAATCAAAATACATACAATTAGATTCTGAAAGTTCAAAATTATTTTTTCTAATTTTCAATAAACGTTCATTGGATAAAATATTATTTAATTTAATTCATATATTTAATAATTAATTTATTCGAATAAATCATTCTTTTAATTAACATAAAATCATTTTCACATTTTGGTTAACGATTATACAGGTTAGTTTGTAACTTACATTGTATAAATATGTTATGAATCGTTTGTGAATCAAGATGTCAGACGAGGAGTATTTTTCAATTGTGTTAGTAAAATTAAACTTTAGTAAATTTGGATTTAAAGCTTGCTAGATAATTATATAAAGAAAATAAAAAATGTTTTAATATAGTAAAAATAATATTACCTCTTTCAAGAAAGAATTATCTTGACACTTAAATACCATTTTAACCAATCTATTTTTTACCAGGTATTTTGTATAGCGTATTTAATTTGTTTTCTTCTACTTAACTGGCAAGAAATACCTGGAAAAGAAAAATTCATGTAAAACAGTATATAAAATAATAGAATTGCAAAATATGCCTAGAAAACGTTTCATCATGGTATAATCTTTTTATTGTGCATTAACCAAACTAACCATACTTTGTTCGAATAAGTACAGACATGATACAAAAAATTTCAGAGGTATGATACTTAGCCGACGAAATCACGTAGAGTTCGCACATAAAATATATTTTCGCGCGCTGTTTTCGATCAGCTGATATCCCAAATTCGTAAAAGCAACGCATTCTCCCCAAAATACGTCACCGTGAAGTCCAGGCAGGACACATTAGTATAATAACTTATTTTATATGTAATTCTCGTTTAAATTTGGTATTGGTGATTCCGTATACGTTTACAGTTTAAGATTATTATACATATCGTTTTTTTATATGATATACGTTTTTTTATACGTCCTAGGGTATATAATTGTAAAGTATTCTACGCTTAAATATAGTTACCAATATTCGACTATTTTTAGTGTGCGATGAACGATTTATAGACAGTGTGCCTAAATATAAGTTTAGGTTTATTTAAATTATATTATATGTATTTTTCGTTAATAACTCCCGTTTAAATTTCGTCTTGGTTGATTTCTTAAACATTTTTTTGTAGTTACTAGTTATTGTATATTATACATTTAAATATAATTTAGCTTACACGCACATTTCCAGTTGACGATAAACTAGTAGACAGAAGTAAATAATATGTATACATTTAGGTTTATTTATTTAAGAGCTTATATTTATTCATTTTACATCCATATTTTGTTATTATATTACCTGTAACATTTATAACAAATTCCCGATACACACGGAACTATTTGATAAGGCGGATGGAACATGGCATACTAGAGATACGATCTTTTCACATTTCTACTCTTGCGTATGCGTGTATTGGGTAGTGTAGTCATATGCATTTTACAACAACTACTGTTTTTTAGGTAAGTACAGTGTGTAGGATGCTTACAGAAATTCTAAAAATAACCTTACTCTCTAACTTTTGTTTCTCTTAAGTGCTTTTTAAGCACTAGAGATACGATCTTTTCACATTTCTACTCTTGCGTGTGCGTGTATTGGGTAGTGTAGTCATATGCATTTTACAACAACTACTGTTTTTTAGGTAGGTACAGTGTGTAGGATGCTTACAGAAATTCTAAACATAACCTTACTCTCTAACTTTTGTTTCTCTTAAGTGCTTTTTAAGCACTAGAGATACGATCTTTTCACATTTCTACTCTTGCGTATACGTGTATTGGGTAGTGTAGTCATGTACATTTTACAACTACTGTTTTTCAGGTAGGTACAGTGTGTAGGATGCTTACAGAAATTCTAAACATAACCTTACTCTCTAACTTTTGTTTCTCGTAAGTGCTTTTTAAGAAGCTATCTATTTATTCCTATCAAATTCATTTTCCCTACCTTATTCGTCAGTTGATTTTTATTTCATAAAATATCAAAAATAACCCTGGCTGTGGTTATAATAATTCCTTTTTGCAGAAAATACGCCTGGCCTGCATCGACTGAGTAAACGCTGTTAGGAACTGTACCTACCATGGACATTATGAAATAACTTCTGAGAAACCAAATTCCCATTAAATTTAACTGGGCAGGCCATGATAAGCAACCAATAAAAAATTGTAACGTTACGATGGTTATTTTTGGTAAGTTTATTTTAACAGTGATATGACCTTTATAATAAATTATTCTATTGTAGAAGCCATAAGGCATGCCTATATGAGTGATATTGTACCTACCAAGCGATTTAACAGACCGAACCATTAAATGTGACACACATTGCAAGAATGGCTGGGACAACACATCAAAGTGATGACAAGATTTTTATTTTAATATATATTGTTTGTTTCGGTCCCAAAAGGTTATACATATATGCCCCACGAATTCTTCAAAAATTCTAGAGGAACACAAACGCTTATAAATATAATGAAAGTCTGTCCCACTGGGCCGTAATATTATCTAAAATACGTTTCGCGGTAATTCGTGTGTAACTATAACCTCACTGTTTATTTTACATTTATGTTGAACGTGTGCATTATTTACGGTTTTGTGAAATAATTATTATATCTGCATACAATTTTGTAATAAGAACCGGGGGACTTTTAAGTTTTCAAAAGTTACAAAAGGCGCGTATCAACAACGGTAATTTGACAGACAGACATTGGCACTTTAGTATAGTAGGTCGTAATTTGTATGGTAATTTGTAATCTTTGACATCTAGGCGATTTCGTTCAATTAAATTTTCGACCGAATTCTATATCTTGGGAACCACAAAAGTAGATACCATGATTTTGGTGTCATTTTGTTTCTCTAAGTGTCTCTAGCTTACATCTGAGTCCGATAAGGTTTTGGCTTTCTCTATCCCGAGATCGCGGCACGGACAGACAGACATTGGCACTTTAATATAGTAGGATTGGCATTATTATTGGAAAATATAAAGAATTTACCAAAAATTTAAGAAAAGTATTTTTAATGTTTTAAATTCAAAAGAAAACACGTATGGAAATAAAACAAATAATTAGGTTATTACTCCAGTCAATGGCTTACATTGAACTAGGGAATTAAAGGTAGAACGTGGGCATTCTGACTACTATCAGGTAAATTTTGGATTTATATAGAGAGACTAGACAAAAAGAAAATGACTCGAGTGAGGACTGAAGTCCAAAAGTAATGTGTAAAGTTTTTGTGCAGTGATTTGTGAACTATGGGTAAATATCTTTAAATTTAAACAAACGAGGCATACAAATTTGGGTTCGAAGTGATTCAAAGTCGGGCATACTTACGACTTCAATATTTATGCTGGAAAAGCGAAAAGCGGAAAGTACCACAATTAGAATAAAACCTTGTGAGAACAAGTAGTAACAAAGTTGGCATCTACTATTCGAGGCCCAGATGTTAGTCTTACAATGGACATATTTTGTACTAGTGTTCGTCTTATGAACTCGAGAGAATTTCCATGCACTGGGATACTATTGTCATCCCAGATTAAAATGCCAAAATTTGATTTGAAAAAGAAAAGAATGAGGAGAATTTGTTTGCAATGAATATAGAACACTACTTGGAGTTTGTGGCAAGATAACAAACCTGTTTCATTTCTTAGTAACTGTCACAAAAATACCATTGATACTACTACACGAAAAAGTAAAGATGGTACAAAATCCAATTACCCATGTTCGGATGTTGCTGTGTTTTACAACAAAACAATGGGAGGTGTAGATCTCTCTGACCAATTGGTCGGCTTATACGATATGGATCGAAAATTTATGAAATGGTGGCGAAAAGTATTTTACCGGCTCCTAATGACTTCCATTGTGAATTCATGGATTATCTTCAAGGAGGCCAACGATAAGAAAACTATGCCATATTTAGATTTTTTAGTACAATCAGCAGAAAATCTTATTGCACTTGGACGTCAAAACGCGCATGTGATTAGAAGGCAATATAGCACACTCAAAAACTTCTAAATCCTTGCTGAATATAGGAGACCATTTACCTGTTGAGGGTAACACGCGCAGATGTGCCCGATGTGCTACTCAACTTAAAGAGAGAAGAACTACAACTATTTGTACGGCATGCCAACTACCGGGTAATTTAGTACCCGATACCTTGCTTTCGATACTTTACTCATATGGGTACCTACTACTTTTGTTCAGTACTACCCGAGAATACCGATCAAGTATTCTCGGGTACTACTACTTTCCTTTCAATATTTTACTAGTTTTGATTTTACAATACAAACAAAAAATATATTGTAGGATCACTTTATGATATGGTATGTCGGCGTACCCTATGACTTCTTTTTTTTCGTTGTTCTACAATCTTCCCGATATCGATACTTTCGTTCCGATACCCTTTTCGAAACCGGTATCGATACTTTAGTTTCGATACTTTACTGGTATCGCAACATCCCTAACCACACCTAATTTTAGTGTAAAGTTATTTAGTAACATAATGTAATTTTTTTCTATAAACATACAAACATTACCAGTGGGATATAGGAGTAAGTTCATAATTTTATCTTTTTTAGTTAGATAATATTTCTCCCAACACAAACTTACTAAAATATATTTTAAAATAAAAAGTAGGACCTAAAGGGTTAAAGAAAGATCCTGTTGAGTTTGTCACTTAGAATTATATTGTTTATTTTTTAGTTTTTTTTTTTTCAGTTTAATATTGACTTTTTCATAATTTATTACATTTTTCTAGGACATTTTATTTTCCTTATACCCTGCTATAGGAGTTATCCTTCTTTTAAGGGTAATAAAAAAAAATGTATCTTAAGTAGGTAATTTCCGGTTAATTATAGGTGAATAAATTAGTAGAAATAGACGTTTATATTTGACAAATAATATACGTTTATAGAGCGGACATTTTCACGAATATCTTGGGTAGTACATCAACCGTATTATTTATACGTATGGTAATATCTAAAAAAGACGTAATTTATACCAGAATGTGCTGCCTACTACGTTGTATTAATCGACGTAATATCATACCTTCTTTTTATAAAATCATAACACTCAGAGCATTGAAATGTGAATGTGGTAATCAAAGTTGAACTTAGAATATAAATACTATACGATTTTGGTTAATACTTTATTTCGATAAATATTGTGACGCGGAGCCAACCCTGTCTAATAAGCGACCTTCAGCCTGCCACTCGACTCAAGGTCGAAACACCGCTGACGTATAGACAAACGATCCGCGTCTCAAATATACCAGAACAAGTGGTACGTGACGTTGAGTCATAGAGATGGAATTCTAGGACATTCCACATCGTCTAGAGATTTCTCGTACAGAGTGGGTTTTGTATAAATAGCAGTTTTATTTCTATATTATAAGTTTTAATTTAAGGAGTACTGTAAACATATTGTATGGTTGCAAAAACAAACATATTTAAGTTTTGTTTGCATCTTTGGAATTCCACATGTACCGGGCGTCCAAATAAGAAAGGACTCCGGCAGATGACGGCTGTAGAGTAGAATACAGCCTGAATCTCAGAAACTGCGTCGTAGAATCTTGGGAAAAAAATTAAATGTAAAAGTGGTCAAGAGAATTCTTTGGAAATTATTTTTAATTTTCTAACTTCGACACTACCCAGACAACACACCAAATCCCAGAGATATCCACAGAATATCTTTTGTGGATATCCAATATATCCACAGGATATCAGAAATATTCCGTGGATCTAATATGGATATCCAAATGTCCGTCTATATCCAGAATATAGAAGATATCCTAATGGATATCCAGCAAAATATCTCATGGGTATCTTCCAGAAAATACAAGAAATCCCAGAGATATCCACAGAATATATTTTGTGGATATTCAATATATCCAATATGGATATCCAACCAACTGTCCGTCTATATCCCAGGATATAGAAGATATTCGGATATTCAGCAACATATTTTATCTTTAGTAGAGGTTCATAAGTAACCAATGATTATTGAATAACATCGAAAGAAAATAGCAGAGAAAAAATATTTTCAACACTCAAAATATTTTCAACACTCTGCCTTTGATTTTGCCCACTAAGGAGAAAGTCATCCTTATTAGGACTCTTCAGCAATAAATGGAAATTATCGACTCCAGTCTCTAATAGAGTGATTAGGACACAAATTTCGATCGAACTCAATTACGGCGGGTCGAGCCATGAGTAGATGCGATAGTGGTATAGCCATCTATACTTAGTAAGCAGAATCAAATAACAACTAGTGGATATCCACGATGGTTTGCGTTCGCGCCTAGACTTTGATATATTTAGTGGATGTCCATGGGATATTGAATACACCTTAAAAAAATTAATTTTAAATATCTGAACGGTACTATTAGCCACAATGGCGAGCACAATGTCGTAATTTTTTAATAATTTGCTATATAATTACTTTTATCGACATTTGCATTTCTATAAATTACATATCCTGGATATAAAATAGATATCCACCATGGACTGGACATTCAGTGGATATTGGGATATGCAGTAGATATCCAAAGGATTTGGTGTGCTGTCTGGGTAGATGGTGTAATGCTTATGACCAATGATAAACAGATAAACCAGTGGGTAGTCAAAATTGATTAAAATTTCGCACAAATTACGACATTCTTAACTTGATTTAATTGGGCATTATGATGAACCCTAATTTTTATTAAATACAGGGATTTACAAAAGTTTGGATAAAAATTATTTTCTGAGCCCCTGGTTCTACAGCAATGGGTTATCGTAACTTATCAAAATATAGTGATATAATAAAGGTGATTAACCCACCCTGAACTCCTATTGGGAAAATAAAATGTCCTAGAAAATGTAAAATAAAACTGAAAATGAAGTAAATATTAAAAATTAAACTAAAGTACTCAGTACTTCCTACAGCTGACGAGTAATGAGTAGGTACGAGTACCGACACGTGCGTATACAGGTTAGTAAAAAGGTATACGAACCATAGGGTGTAGGCACGAGGAGGGCACAGCCAAATTTATAGCAGGTCAAAAGAAAAACAGAATCGTTACAAAATAAACAAATAAAATCATCCAACATACATACATAATCTAAAACAATGAAAAAAAAATACGGAAATTCTTAAAATCTAATAGTATAAAAATAAAAATGTTTTATTTAAAAACGAGGTACTTTTCAATTACAGCAAAAGAAGTACATTATAGATTAATGTAGTTTTTTTTTATAATCTATATCTAGGTAGTCAAATTAAGTTAGCATTTCTATTGTCATAATAGTGAATACTTTTTTTTTAGGGGAGAATGCATTTATGCACGCCCTGCTCGATCATCAGCTGGGTAGTGTGGGATTCAAGATTTCAACTACAAACTAAAAACCTTTCTCGTTCCTACTCATGCTGGTACTACCATTGCTGGTTTTTGTCATGCATACTAAACTGAGTAAGAAATAAGGGTGCTCTTTTGTGAATTTCAATAGGACTGATATACAGAGACGGAACAGTCATAATTGTATGTGTAATGCCTCTACAAGAGTCCCTATACCGGACATTTGACAAAATTCTTATAGCTCTTTTTTGTTGAATGAAAATAGCTTCAGATTTAATAGAGTTTCCCCATAACGAAATTCCTTACAATATATGAAAATGAAAAAGAGAAAAGTAAGCTATTTTTAAAGAATGAGAACTAGTTGTTTTTTAATTGATGAAGTGAGAATAAGGAGCTAGATAACTTTTTTTTTAATCATCTAATATGACTGAACCAGTTTAATTTATTGTCATAGTAAAACCTAACAACAGTTTTAGGATCACTAATGATGCATTACATGCAGGGACACATTCATGTTTGGAAATTTATTTTGATTTATTTTTTAGTTTGAGCCTATTTACTGCAAATGAATAATTTGCTTTTTCTTCCAGTTCATTGGTTAGACTAGATAGTTGTGAGTACCATCACTTAAATAGATTAAGGCAGCATCATCAGCAAATAATATACTATGATTAGGTTTCCTAAAATTGCATAAATCATTTATGTATATGATAAAAAGTAACAGTCCCAGAATTGATCCTTGAGGAACTTCTGAATTTAGGTTCGACAATACACTTTGAAACCTATTGCAGAGGTATGATTTAAAAAATGCAATGCAGATTAACCCCATAGTAATTAAGGCTGACACTACCACGAAAAATACATTATGTAAGAGATTAATTAACATGTAGGTATACAAATTGTCTGTTCACATGGTGAAACATTATATTGGAGCAACGTGACTATGTGGTAATGCATCTGCCTCACATTCGAAAGATCTTGGCCTGGCCTGGCCTTTCAGAGGCTTTTGTCATAGCAATAGGTAAACGCTGGGTCAGTAACATGCTCTCAGATACCTACCATTCCTTCCACCCTATTCCCTCTCACCAGATCCATTCAGTGCGGCTGAAGAGGCTAGGAATCTCTATAGCGGCACGCTCCCAACCTGGGAGAATCAAATACACATCTTTACCTTATATCGGACTCAATCTGATTGTTCACCCGTATTTAAGCGTGGCTAATGTACGTTACTTTTTGTTTTGAAAGTAGGTAATCGGAAGGTTTCATCCTATTCTAAAGATGTGTAATAATTTCGAAGATTACTTTTTATTAAAGATAAAACAGTATGTAAATTGTTTCTATACAAATTTTTCCTAAAAAATACGGAGAAAATAGTATTTTTGTAGAAAAAGAAAACCAAAACTCAATTTTATAGGTTATCTGTTCAAAAAATACTCACCTCTTCACGGTGGATAATTGTCAACTGTCATTCAGTATTCAGTAGAGATGGGTTGTTATTTCACAGTAGCAGGTTTTGTCACTGCTTTTCACTTGTCACTGGAGCAAAGTGCTCCACGACTCACCGAAAAGTTGTTACTTTTCGGAGCAGGTTCCGAGAAAAAAGGAAAACGATATACATTATTTTTTTAAATTCTTTTTTTATAGACTTATTTTGTCTATTCATATTCATAATAAAAAAGATGGCATTCAAAAATTAGAAACACTTTTGTTGAAATAGAAACAGAATGCAAAATGTTAATATTTAAGTAGTAACTCAGTAAGAACCGATTCCTCCGTTTAACACAACGGTGGAATCGGTCCTAAGTGAATCCCCGACGTAACTAAAGACAAAATTAATAATATCAATCATCTTCTTATTTACTTTTTCCCTGGCTGTAAGGTCTATTTGATAAGTTCTAACCAATATTCAAGAAAAGAAAATAATTAAATGTGATTTATAGTAAATTATTAACTCAATAATCATTAATTTATAGATAGAACAATTTTACTAAACACAGATAGCCATAAAAAACATTTCGTTATCGCCATATGTGAAATGTGAAAATTATCTAAAAGCTGCCCCAAAACCTAGCAGTATTTTGTCACTGCTTTTTTGTTGTAGCAGAAGCGGTTGTCACTGCTTCTGAAAAATAGCTTGCTTTACCCATCTCTAGTATTCAGTCATTTCAGTCCAGTGTTGCCGAATCGAAAATGTAAAATTTCCTCTAACTTAGGGCCCTATTCAGTAATTTATCGTTTATGGACGACATCGTTGAGCTAACGACAGTTCAACCAACGACTTTTATAACGATAATTTTTGAAACTCTATTCAATAACAAAGTCGTTACGTTGTTTCTAGTTATCAAATCTGAACGATGATTTCTAGTAAGTTGGTATTATAATTTAGTGTTTTGTGATAAAAGAACGTATGTTGATGATTATAGCGGGCGTTTAAATTAAAGTTTTACAGTTAAATATCGCCAAAAATATGCATTTTATAAAAAAAAAAGCATCAGACAAAAGTTTTATAGTTTTTTAGGGGAAACATTTTGGCTAAATTATTTTTTTTATAGCTGACCATAATATGGCCATATCGAGGTGGATTTTTTTTCAAATTGGAACCCTATTTTTTTACATAGGTATTCTTAGAGTTCATAAAAAAAACAAGAAACTTCTAAAGGAAACATTTTTTTATTGGATTTCTACTTATTGAGTAACATCTACTTGAAAATTTTGCTGCGCGAAAAAAAGTTGGCCATATTATGGTTTGCTATAAAAAAACAATTTTAGCTAAAATGTTTTACCCAAAAAATTATTAAACTTTGATTTTTTTATAAAAGGCGGTATTTAACTGTAACCCTTTAATTTGAACACCCGGTATATTTGACATTTTTTTTGAACGTAAAATAAAAATTCTACCACACGATCAGGGGGTCGATTCTCGATTCGTAGGAATTCTGTTTCTCGCGGGCCATTTTTGCTGGTCATATTGTATGTAGGGTTTATTTAAATGAGTATGGATATATTAAAAAAAAACAAAAAACAACTCGAGAACAGTACAAGTTGTATTTATTGGATTTGAAAAACAAACCAAATTTGTGTAGGTTACGGAGAAGTATTATAGGTACTTCCATAATATAGGTTTTGTTACAGTTTCGCAGTGCTACTTTAGGAACATCACTGTTAATAAGAATCCAATAGTAAATGATTGAATGGGCAATCCTAACTTTGAATCAGATTTATTTTTAAAATAATTAAATAAATTAGAAAAAAATTCCTTACAAATTTTACTTGCTGTATTAGGTATATGGCAATTTAGTTGTAAAATTTGTAAAAAAGTGTTTTTATTATTTAGAACATATCCTGATTCACAATAAAAAATGAGAGGGAATGCAAAAAATCACTATAACGACACTTCATATTATTAACGACAGCTCTTTGGCTATCGTTGATGAACGACAATTTTACAACCATGTTTGTCTATTTTCAACGACAATCGTTGTCTACTGAATAAGAAAAGTCGTCTGTGAACGATTATCGTCTATTAACGACGTCGTTCAGAGTTACTGAATAGGCCCCTTAATCCGAAAATTCCCCCTTTATCCACCCACGGTTTTAAAAATTAACCACTTTTTCCACCCACACTAAAAAATGTTTTCTATATAACAATAATTCGTTATTGTTATATAGATTAAATAAAAAAAAACAATTTTATTTTTTAAAGTTACAATTCATGGAGCATCTGTGAAAAAAACAGGAAACCACACAAATTTAAATAGTTTATTAAATAACAAAATTATTGGAAGGCTTAACTTTGTTGACAAGCACGTACAGCTATTAACTGTAAAAGAATATATAAGGGCACAAAAACCTCTGAATAATCTAATGTTGTTTGACCTAAGAGTCGTTTACACAATAAGTATTTAAATAAGAAAAACATCAACAACACTGTTCCCGACCAGCTTATCCTTACCAAAGAAGACTTTATAGTCATCTCTAGCAGCATTCTTATAAAAATTATTATAACAAAATATGTATTAAGAGCATCTCCAGCAAACAATGGTGAAAATATAAACCACCAATCAATGCTCTCCAAGTCCTTTGAGGGATCATATTTGAAAACGAATATGATTGTAAATACTAGAAAAGATATTAAATTAATCCATATTTCAAAAACTGTTAGTCCCAGCCACTTCACAAGTTCTTCCTTTGTAAAAAACATTTCAAAATTGACTTATTCAATTGAATTAGAATTAAAAATTCTAATTCTTAGAGCAGAGTTAAATCTCCTTTGGATATCATAATCTGCATCATCTACAGCTGGCTCCAGATCATCTGAAAGTAACAAAGTTTGTTCTCAGTGCAAGTTCATTGAGCGAAATTGCCAAATTTTTAAATTATTATGAAAATATTAATACAAAAAAGTACCTAAGTATTTACTATGCAGGAATAGTGTGTATATCTGATAACTAATTAAGTAATGTATGATAAAATAAAATGTTTTGACAAAGACAGACATGCTACTGATAACTTATTTAAAAAAAAAAAAATATTGTAAGCTCTGATGTTCTGTCATATGTGATTTTTTCCATGGGCATTTTAGCATTTTTACTAATAAAAATTAACAAACTGTAATTAAAACTTGGAATTATATATTATAATCCGCAGTGAAAGAGAGATAGCAAGCAAGACAGTTGGCAATACTTTAAGAAGTAAACAGTAATGTGTTTTTATTACCCCAATGCAAGTTCAATTTAGTTTTTGTATCTTTTTTTTTTAAATTTTAGTCACATAACGTAGGTGCATTCATAGTGTCAAGAAGTTGCCAAAATATTGGCAACGTTTAGTTGTTTTTAAATGTCAGAAACCCACTTCATGTTAAATATTAGCCATTGTAAACTTCAATAAAGTTAACTTATGGGACTATTCTACTGCAATAAAAACACTACATTAATATATAATTTTTGTTTACTTCTCAGTACATAAGAAATACTGGCTGGTAGTAAATTAACAGCAACCAATAAAATGATACATACAGTGATTATAATTAATGTTTAAATAATTTTAGTGTTAAATTGAACCATAAAAAAAATATTAAATTCATCTTGGACTTTTTGACAGTTACAATTTACAATGGTTGCCTGATGAAGATGACACACAAACAGAAACTCACAAAAACTTCAATTTAACACTAAACGATTTCAGCTAGTGTATGACATGCCATGCCATAAGCTAAATAAATAATAGACTTGTCTCTAACTCACTTGCTCATTTCAGAATAGAAACCTGTATATGTAGGTAGAGCTTACACTTAACTTGATGTCAGGTTTTATATATTTAATGAGTGTGCCATTCAAATAGAAATGTTATGGTTGTCTCAGTCTCGGGCTTTGACTTTTTATAGTATAAATAAATATAAAGTTGCAATAGTTTTCAAAGTTATGACGAATATATCAAATTCACCCTCGGAAATACTAAACACTAATTATTATAGTCACCTATTAGTTCAGTAGTAAGAGTATTTGTATGTAACTTATATGCAATATTTTCTTCGCATATTTGAAGAGCTAATAAAATTCCTCTTTGAATAGCTGCTCCCATACAATAAATAATAATTTCATTTTCCCTGTTGTTTACCAGCTTATTACACTTTTCCAATTGTGCCTGAAATAAATAGCATAATCTTAAATTTAAATAACTTATGATAATTAACTATTTACCTTAATATTGGTCTTAGAACATACATATAAAATGTTGTCTGCTCTTTCTGGTTTTTTAGGTTGTCTTGGTATTCGTATATGATCAGATGAATTATGAGTTTGTTTGATAAATTGACGTTTCGATTTATTTTCAGCCATCAATTTAATAGGTAGGTATATTCTTTAAAATTCAGATAAATTCAAGAAAATAAACAAAATGTAAATATGCCACAGATCGGAGTAAATTTATAATTTTTAAATCAGTGTTGCCAAAGGCTTAAGATCCAGCCGTGGGCTGGGGTGCGTTCAGAAATGTAGGGTAACTGCGTTCGGACGTTGTCTAAATTCAAAAAAGCGTTCCTAAATATAGAACGTTTCATCTGGATGCAGGGACCCGGACCGTAGCGTTAAAAACAGAAAACCGGACCGGAATCGAAAACTTTTATTGGACCGAAACCGCAACTGAACGACTGAACCGTTATTTTATCCAGAAATAAATTTTTAGAACCGAACCGGAACCGTTAATATTTCAAACTGTTTTAACGGTTATTTTCGGTTTTGTTGTTCATATTGTTACGTTTTTTTTGTTAAGACTAATAATTTTTATTTGTAGCTGAATAGTCATGCACTTTGCATGTTTCCTAGTAGTGAATAATAAATAGCATTCACAATTGCAGGAGAGAAAAAGATGTGGTACAGCCGCTACCGACCTATGATTCCATCTGTGAATAGCAACATTCTGTTTCTTTTCCTGCATGTGTGTACGCGATTTACTATTCACTCCAACAGAAACAAAATAGGACTGACGGGTTGATTTTGCCAGCTCATAGGATCATTTTTCTAGTTTTGTTATTTTTTAATGAAAATGAATAAAAAATGTTTAAATTATTATTTACATTTTCTGTTACTGCTTGTTTACCTATTTTATTTAAATAAATTAACTGCTAAAATAATATAATTTATTTATGTATTAAATAAAATTATACTACCTATTTAAAACTCAAATTTTTATATTTGTAATGTTTGTCTTTTATAAGCAATTATAAAGGTATGGAAAATGTGTACCGAAAAGAACCGTTTGGACAGAAAAATTTGGTCAGAACCGAACCGAATTTTTTTTAAAAGAACCGAAACTGAACCGGACCCAAAATGTTTAGTTTTACTAGAACCCGAACCGAACGGGAACCGTTAAATTAATTTCGGTCCGGGTCCCTGTCTGGATGAATTACCCCCAGCCATTCCTATGCGTCGGGATGAAGAATTATCCACCGTGTTGAGTTGGGTAATTAACCTAAGAGAACCAACTAGTATTTAATTTCCTATTTTTACTTTTTGATTAAAAAATATTTAAATATGAGTATGAATGAGAGAATTAATTCCATCAATTAGCGTATAGTTGTCGGAAACGATGATAATTTCATTATAGAAAACGATAAAATTTTATGACACAGGAAAAAAGGTAATGAATTGAGTTTTTACATAAAAAAAAGTCTATGTGGGCGTCAATGATGTTACCTATTTACTAATTTTTGATAATTCCTACAATCTCAGACAACAGAAAAGACAACCAAAAACTTGATCTAACAATTGCCGCGTTTGAGAATCCACATCAGATGCATTTTTTACATCTCGAGCGTTTTTTTATCCACATCGGACACATCTGTCCCATTACATTTACGTATACTGAATCACGTGATCAAAGATTTTTTACATCTCAGATGCATCCGATGTGGATTCTCAAACGCAGCAAATACTTGCACTTACCGTTCGTATTTATCGGGCAAAAAATAAATGTTCCGACGAATTTTGTCCCGACGATTGAAAATTTTACGCTCTCGATTTCTGAACGCACCCCTGGTCCGTATTTATAAACAGAACTCAGCTGGGTAAGTCGTCCTTGAACTAAAAATCGAAGTTCGGCTACAATGTCTCTAAAGTTCCAGGTGGTTCCGGTGGTACACTGGAATTTAGAGATGGATATTAGCAAATGGGTCCTATGATTGAACGTTTACGTTATCCGTAACGTACATGTTAGGCAGAGTTTTAACAGTAACGAGGCAAGTTCGTATGATGGAAAACTTTTTCCAACACATTACTGTTATTTTCCGCCTGTTATGTTCTAATTTAACAGTTTTCCATCATATGCACTTGCCTGGTTACTTTTAAAATTCGGCCTAACATGTACGTTACGGATAACGTAAACGTTCAGAGGGTGGATTCATAAACTATGTTCAGTTCACGCTCAATTCGAGTTCAACATAAACAGAGCAGAATGACACGGTAAGTATGTTTTGGATAAGAAATTATAACTGATTCATAATTATTTTATAACAAACACCATCTACAAATATAATTAAAACAAAAATACCACCAAAATATAATTTTATTTTGTGGAATTTGTGGTTATGTCTTGCCAACTCGAACTGAGCGCGAACTGAACGTAGTTTATGAATCCACCCTCAATCATAGGATCCAATATGTAACTGACGGGTCTAAGGGGCCTATTCAGTAACTCTGAACGACGTCGTTAATAGACGATAATCGTTCACAGACGACTTTTCTTATTCAGTAGACAACGATTGTCGTTGAAAATAGACAAACATGGTTGTAAAATTGTCGTTCATCAACGATAGCCAAAGAGCTGTCGTTAATAATATGAAGTGTCGTTATAGTGATTTTTGCATTCCCTCTCATTTTTTATTGTGAATCAGGATGTGTTCTAAATAATAAAAGCACTTTTTTACAAATTTTACAACTAAATTGCCATATACCTAATACAGCAAGTACAATTTGTAAGGAATTTTTTTCTAATTAGTTAATTATTTTAAAAATAAATCTGATTCAAAGTTAGGACTGCCCATTCAACCATTTACTATTGGATTCTTATTAACAGTCATGTTCCTAAAGTAGCACTGCGAAACAGTAACAAAACCTATATTATGGAAGTACCTATAATACTCCTCCGTAACCTACACAAATTTCGTTTGTCTTTCAAATCCAATAAATACAACTTGTACTGTTCTCGAGTTGTTTTTTGTATTTTTTTTTGGAATAGTTCTCAGTTTTTTTTAATATATCCATACTCATTTAAATAAAACCCTACATACAATACGACCAGCAAAAATGGCCCGCGAGAAACAGAATTCCTACGAATCAAGAATCGACCCCCTGATCGTGTTGTAGGTTAAGAACAATAATTAATATATTCTGAAAAACAAATGAATATATCTAATGATAGAATTTTTATTTTACGTTCCAAAAAAATGTCAAATATACCGGGTGTTCAAATTAAAGAGTTACAGTTAAATACCGCCTCTTATAAAAAAAAACAAAGTTTTATAGTTTTTTGGATAAAACATTTTGGCTAAAATGGTTTTTTAATATCAAACCATAATATGGCCAACTGTTTTTCGCGCAGCAAAATTTTCAAGTAGATGTTACTCAATAAGTAGAAATCCAATAAAAAAATGTTTCCTTTAGAAGTTTCTTATTTTTTTATGAACTCTAAGAATACCTATATGTAAAAAAATAGGGTTCCAATTTGAAAAAAAAATCCACCTCGATATGGCCATATTATGGTCAGCTATAAAAAAATTAATTTAGCCAAAATGTTTCCCCTAAAAAACTATAAAACTTTTATCTGATACTTTTTTTTTATAAAATGCATATTTTTGGCGATATTTAACTGTAAAACTTTAATTTAAACACCCGGTATAATCATCAACATACGTTCTTTTATCACAAAACACTAAATTATAATACCAACTTACTAGAAATCATCGTTCAGATTTGGTAACTAGAAACAACTTAACGACTTTGTTATTGAATAGAGTTTCAAAAATTATCGTTATAAAAGTCGTTGGTTGAACTGTCGTTAGCTTAACGATGTCGTTCATGAACGATAAATTACTGAATAGGGCCCTAGTTTCGGATTTTTTACTTCCCATCTCTAGATTCACGCGATATAACCGAACTTCGATTTTCGTTCAAGGACGATTCAGCCAAGTCCGATTCAGCTAACTTCTGTTTATAAGTACGGACCTTTTTTTTATGGATTTGTTACTGAACGTGACTGTATTACGATCGAGATGAAGAAAGAGAAGAAGAAAGAAAAATCGGAGCAGGCCGAATAGCCCTGGCAGCTGAGGCCTACAAAAAATGAAAAGAAGAAGAAGAAGATAATCCATTCATGATCCGAATTGAGGTTATGATTATTTTTTTAAAAACATTTAAATATGAATTAGCTTATTCTTCTTTAATAACTACCTTTAAACAATATTAATAATAAAATTTATACATAATGGCTTTTAAAAGAATATCGAATTGGATGATTACTGATACTGGTAGAGCGTTCTCGTATTATTTGGCCGGTGGAATTTCAGCAGCAACTATCTTGGCTCATTACCTACCCAACACTTTGTTTTTAGACAAATACCAAGAAGTAATACAATTGTATAAGTAAGTTTACTAATCACTTTCATTCCTATCACCTATTCTATTGACCTGTTGGACGATTACTATAGAATATTGTATGTACATAGTTCATACACAAAATTGTATTTATCGAACTTAGCTAAATTACGAGGCCGAAACTTGCCTAAATGAAAATGGAAGTTGTGTAAGGCTGCGTTAAGTCAATGGTCAAGTTAACTGGTATGGCCAGAGCGGTCGCTGAACAATTTAGTCGCAAGTGTCTAGTTCTGATTTTTCAAAATCATAATCAGCACACTAAAGATGTACAACTCCAACCACCAGGCACCTGTTTGGTAATCTTGTAGTTGCAGTCTGGAAATGCGCCTGTCCCCACCATTCCTGTTCGGGCTAGTTCTGACAGTTGGAATCGGTTCATATAGTTGCCAGGTTATATTTAATTATTTGTAACCAGGGAATAAGCATATTGAAATAACTATCAATAGTACCTTTCAATAGTGATAATTACAAAATTCAAATTTGTGTCAAATTCAAATTCTAGATGTGAGTGCTGAGAGGGATGAATATGCCCATTTTTAGACTACAAGATTACCACCTGCTATAGGGACATTTAAAAAAACAGTGAAGTTATTCCTACAATGGTGTATTAAATTTGTTTTTAGTAAGTTATGTTAAGTCTTAAAACACTCAACTCACTGATATTAAATAGTAGAAAATTATTTTTTGTGTGTGCAAATATACAATAACAAATAACAATTGACCATGAGTTTTGACTACCAGAGTCAGACAACATTTCATTGCCTTTCTTTCTAACCCTGATCGATCAGCTGATTGTGACTGATCATATTGGACAGTTTTATTATTTGCTAAACTTTCTCGTCTCTGAATTTTCACTTTAGGTTGTGTTAATGGCCAAGTTGGCTGGTATGGTCGTACTGGCCGCTGAACAATTTAGTCTAAACTGTCTAAGTAGTTCTAATTTTTTATATTCATGATCAGCACACTAAGGCTCAATCTTTTCACCTCTGAGTAAAGTTGAAAGTAACTACTTGCTGATTAAACTATAGGGCTATTGTTCATTAATCTGTCAAGTAAACCTACATGTAACTTTACTCAGAGGTGAAAAGCTCGGCCATAAGTCCCTTTAAAAATACAATTATTGTATAAAAAAAGATTGCCTCCACTTTCCCCTCAATCAGTTGTAAAGAAATGAAAACTTGGTTAGAGGATGTATTTTTTATGCCTAAGTTAAAAAGCCAAATTCTTGAATTATCCAATCACATTTGTCAAACCCTTGAAGTAGTGCAAGAAAAAGTTAAAAATAATCTCATTCAACAACAAAGTTTTCTAAAAGCAAATTACTGTTTTGTACCAGAAACTATTACAAACTTAGAAAAAACTTTGCCTTTCTTGTAAAAACGGTAATGGCAAAATTAGAACTGAAATATATGAAAACTTGAACACAATTGAAACAAACTTTGATTTAAGACACTTGTTAAAGTCGCAAGTATTTTAGATGGAAATGTTTTTGAAAATTTTAACATGGAGCCAGATGTTTTACTAAATTTAAAAAAGGAACCATTTTAACTAAATTTAAAAAAGGCAACATTTTACTAAATTTACTACTATTACGTCTGTGGTTGTGGAAAGAAGCTTTTATTTACAACCATATATGTAATGTTGTCATTACTAACGTCATTGAAGGTTGGGAAGTGTCACATTACACACCTCTACTTCCCGCCCTCATTTCATCTATTCTAGATGAATATTTTTATATTTAAAAAAAAATAACACATTTTTTTTGACAAATTTTATAATACCTATTTAATGGCAAACAATAAAAAACAACAATGAACTAAAATACAACAAACTACTTATTGATATTTATTATTCGCGAATTTAATATCCGGCTTTATCTGACATTTATTTATATTGGTGACAGTTGTTTACCCCATAATCACAGTAACAATATATTTACTTGATTATTCTGAGAAAACCGCGCGCTTGGTAATTTGTCGTTAAATGTAATATTTTAGGTATGTTCAGAACGAAACAGAGATTTATTAAGTTTGATCGAAATATGATGGTTATAAATAAAATAGTATACAAACCTCGGTAGGAAGTTTCATTCCTGATCTAACTAATCTCACGACAGGAATGAAACTCTTCCCACCTCGGTGTGTAATATACTATTATTAATTAGTGCATGTTTTTAGATAGAATACATAAATTTTTGGTTACTAATTTTGAAAAATATTTAGTGTTGTTTTAATATGTAGTTTTAATAACTTTATCTAATTATTTTTTGCATATAATGAGTTTTTTGCATATTTTGGATTCTCATGCATATTTATGGGCATAAACTTTGCTTTTTTAAGTGCATATTTGAAGTATAATTATAAATATCCAAAATATATATTAATTTTTGATACTGATGGATCATAGAGAAAGATAATCTTCTTGAGCTTGTTTTTTAATTTGACGAACGTATATAGGGTGTATTAAGTGAGCGGGCCAGTCATTACTAATCAGCTGATCAGTCAGAACGGTTGATAAATTTTATCTAACTTTACTAGTCAAAACTGTCTGGCGAATGGTCAAACCTCAACTATGGCCCATTTTTATATTATTTTTTAATCAAAATAATAGATAAAGAAATATATTATTCAAAACAAACTTAATACACTAATCTGGGAATAAATTCACAGTTTTTTAAAACAGATTATAAAGTCTGTATGACAAAAAGTGTTGCTTGGTGGCTAGTCTTGTACTTACTTTGTGTGCTGATCATGAAATGGAAAAATTAGAACTATATAGACAGTTTCGAATAAATTGTTCAGGGACCAGTCTGACCGTACCAGTCAGCTTGAGCATTGACTTGACTTATATATGTACATTGAAAATACCAACACAAAGGAAAAGATAATTTTAAATAGAAGAATATTTCCATCTCATACACTTTATGATTTTTAACCTCTTGTTTATGTCGAAAACTGTTGAATTTTATCAATTTGAATCTTTCAATTTCTAGAAATGGGTTTTCAGTTCCAGTTTCCCGAGAATTAGAAAATCGTTTCCAGAAGGTTTTGGAACTTTTAGAAGTTTGTATTTAAAATCATTGATTTAATTTTACTAATGGGTGCGGCAAAATATACCCAGCTATGGAATATTGACAAAAGTTAAGTTTTATATAAAATCAGAAAGATGTAGAATTATGTTATGGAGCATTATTTGCCTCAAGAATGCACAGAAATTGTTAAATCAATGCGCTGTTAGACAAACTTATTTTTATCACAGAGCTTCTCCGCACGGAGAAACTGGAAGAGTTGGCTCTGGTCGTTCAAACGAATTTGCATTTGCAACATACACACACCATTTCAAACTTGAAAAATTTGATAATGAGCGACAAAATAAATTTTTGCCTTTCTGATCGTGTGAACAAACGAAACGATCGTTTTGGGGAACAGAAAACCTTCGTCTTATTCAAGAGAATGTGCAGATCAAAAAGTCGAGTCATAGGACTGTTCTTGTTTTGAAGATGCCATAAACAATGCAGTTACTGATAATGGAGAACTGTATCGAACATTGATACGAGCATTTCTGCAAGCACAGTGGGAAGTACTTGACATAGAAAACTTCTAATTCCAGAAGGATGGATACATGACACACAGCATGTAAAACAGTCGCTCTTTTTAGATACATTGTCCCCCAGGCTACTCTCGAAAAATGAAGATATTGACTGATCACCTCCTTCCCCTGATTTGATGACACCAGATTTTTTCTTGTGGGGATACTTGAAAAGTAAAGTATATATTAATCGCATACAGACATTAGAAGACTTATGAAAAATATTCGTGAATAAATAGCCCAAATTCCAGCTGAAATATTGTGCAAAGTTATACTAAGAGCTCAAAGTAGAGTTGTTCATTGTCTGGCTTGTCGTGACGGTTATTTACTCGATGTTGTTTTTTTATAAATAATATTACATGTTTTAACAGTTAATTTTCTTATATTTTTTTAAACTTGTCTAGTTATATTTTGCCGCACTCTTTATACACACCTTTTTAATAAACCGATCGATTGTTTAAAAATTGAGTGAAGTAGTTGTAGTACTTCTAAAATCTGATTATCTAACATAAAAACCCAAAATGGGCCCAAAACCTTTTCTACTTATAAATGAGTACTTATTGAAAATGATTAATTTTTATTATTTATGTATTTTTATACTGCCAAATACAATGTAATTACTCTACCTGGTGTTTGATTAAGGGGGACATTGGCTGTGTCTCAGAAAATTAAAGATGGTACAAATAAAACGCTAGAAATTATTTTGAAGTTCATAACTTCGCCATTAGAGGGCGTATTCCCTTTTAAATAATCAAAATTAAGTTATATCGACAAATTAAAATTATATATGCGAAATTTTATACAATTCTCACTACGCTATCGTATCACTGTTTTTCATTGGTAATAAGCTTTACGGCCTATACTGCCGAGGTTGTGAAATCATTTTCAGTAATTTCCCAAAATTCTGCGATGTATAGTTTTTCTTACAGTCGATGTCTACCCTAAATCACCTCTAGGTACATGTATTGTAATAAAAGAGTAGTATTTGTAAGAAATTATTTTTTTTAACTTAAGCAAAATACATTCAATACTAAAACATTAACTGCCGATTGCAAGAACGTTGCAACAAGGTGTAAAAGTTATAAACAAGCAACCATAAGATAGGTGAAAATGTCTAACTAAGAGATTTAAATATATACTGAAAAAATCCGAACACTAACAAAAATCTCAAATTTGGGATGGGTTCAAAAGTTTCTAAAAAATGAAGTAAATAGCATTAAATCAAAATTCTTCTTTCCAACTCTTTTTCTACTTCTTTCTTGATAGGTATTCGCTTCGTTACTTCCTCTTCAGTCCCTATAATTTCTTTCTAAATTTCAAAATTCCCCTTTTCTAAAACAAAACAAAATTTTATAAAAATTTTGATTTCTATAAAAATGTATACCTTCTACGGTTTCTTCCTATTCTCTTTAGTACACAACACAAAAAATAATACAATTAAAATTATTTCTCTATGATATTTTTTAAATTGAGTAACCTATATTCAATTTTAATTTTAAATTTTATTTAGTTGAATTGTAATTGTCCTTTGGTCCATAACTACGTAACTATCCTACAGTTAGTTTTTTCCACAATACCTTCTTTGCATAGTTTATTTTACATATTTTCTATTAATATAAAATTGTGCTTTTGCAGACCAATCAGTTACGTTAGCGTTGCCAGAAGTCCCGCTTTAGGCACGCGTCACGCCAAAGCAGAAAAATGCCCCGATTTTCACCCAAATGCTACACTTTTTACTTAACTACTACGCTTTTTACACAAATGCTACGCTTTTTACTCAAATACTACGCTTTTTACTCAAATACTACACTTTTTACTTAAATGCCACGTTTTTTAAAACCAAAGTTATAAATAAAGAAAAATTAGAAGAGGTAAGACCTTTTTTTTGAGAGGCTCCTCAGAAAAAGGATCTGGTTTATAAAAATATAAGCGGAGGACCTTTTTTTTAGATCTCCACAAAGAAAGGATCCGATTTTATTAAAAAAATACCTGTTTTTTAACCTGATCCCTTGTCGTTACTGTTGTTCCGCTTTTCCCTTTCGTAAATCTGGTAACGCTAAGTTACGTCCATATATTTTACTCAATTGGCATCAAAAGTTAGCAAAAATCAACCATAATATACCACAAAAATTTGTAGAATGAAAAATAATTATAATATAGTTATTGACTATTTCAATTTCAAGAAAACAATCAAAATGGTTTAATAAATGAACAAAATTGGAAAGGGTAATCGGAATTACGCCTATCCCAAATTTGAAAGAAATCTATCGGTCTATTAGAAATTGGTAAATTTACTAATATAAGTCATTTACTCAGATCCAGAAAATATCATGCATAATTCTTAATAGCCCATATAAGTAATGTCCAATTATTGGATTTCAATTGTTTTGCATAAGCTGATTCTGTGCTTAGCAACAATCCCCATGTCCTAAGATTACGATTAAGCTTGCGTTTCAAACATTCAAACACCGGGACAAGATGATTTTTATAAAAATAACGACTTAATCATACTTTGCCGTGTCGACAAAGAAAAAGAAAACTGTTTGTTTATCCAATTAATGCACAGAGACCCGTATGTGGATAATTTCACACAATAGTTAGTATTCTCAGGAACCTAGCGCAAATTCGTTTGATGAAGTTGTTTGTATGTGAAAAAATTAATACCAAACAAAAATCTAAACCATCGAATTCTTTGATAAAATGAAACCTCTCTCGAATTACTTTTGTTATTCTGTACCTTTAATTTAACCTAACAATCATATCTAAAAATTCGTTCTTAAAATGAATGGAGCACACTATTTAGTTTAGACTTCAGTTGAACTTTTCCTACAAAATCATACCAGATTTTTAGATATCGTGGATCTTTTGGAAATTGTAATAAAATAATAATGTTAGCTATTGTAAAAAACTTATGAAAACTTACTCCATACGATTTCTTCCGGTTTTCAATGTTTTAGCTTGTACAGTTAAGTTTAGCACACTTACAGCCGGTTGCAAGAACGTTCATTAAGTATTACGGGTCTGGTAAACTTTGACTGATTGACATGCACTTCAAATTACTCAAACGCTCATAAATAGTTACGATCGTTCTTGCAACGTTGTAAGTCCTGCTTTTTCCGCATAACAATAATTCAAAAAATACTTATTTGAACCGAGGGCGGCTCCAAGACGAATTTTCGGGAGGGGGGGGGGTCATTGCCTTTAGATCAGCGGTTCTCAAACTTTTTTGGTGACGGAACCTTTTTGAAACGCGAAATATTTGACGGAGTCCTAAACACATTTTGCGTGTCCCTATCCCCTCCCCTCCTGGAGCCGCCCTTGATTTGGACACAATAAACGCCAAACTATTTTTGGCAGCTCTGACAACTGTGACAGGGCCTCTAAGAGTGGAAGAAGCATCACTTTTTTAATTATTGTATGTCAACTCCATATTATTCAACCTCGTTGAGAAACTGAGTGTTCCAACATTGTTCCAACACAACTAGGACTAATCACAAATTAGTTTTCACCAATATCAAATCAATTCCTGGGTCTAAATAGGATTTTTGTTTGAATTTCAATCAACTTTTAAGAATGTCCGTCCGTCCGATGTCATGTTTTTGTCCGCACGATATGTCAAAAACTAAAAATTATATTAACTTATTGATAATTTCTTCAGGAAAATCAAGCTCTATAAGGGGACAAAGCTTATTTATTTTGAAAAAATCTGATTAAAAATGGGGGGGAGGGGGGTTGAAATTAAAAAACAAATCAAAAATGAAAAGCGATATCAACATGAAATTTATAGTAAAAATCAAGTTTTATAAGGAGATGAAGCTGATTGATTCTGAAAAAAATATATGACTAAAAATGGGGGGGGAGTGTAGAGGAATTAAAATATTAAAAAAAATATTAACTCAAAAACGAACAAAAATATCAACTTCAAATTTTTATCAAAAATCAAGCTCTATAAGGAGACGAAGCCTATTAATTTAAAAAAAAAAAATGTGATTAAAAATGGGGGTTTAAGAAGAATTGAAATTAAAAAAAAATCATAAATCAAAAATAAAAAGCTATATCAATATGAAATTTTTAGTAAAAATCAAGCTCTATAAGGAGATGAAGCATATCTTCATTCTAGTTATTTGTTATTTTTAATGTTTAAATGATGCATGCGAATCCAAGGGTCCCAGGTTCCAATCCCACCGTTGGCCGGGATTTTTTTATTTAATTTAATTATTTAAAATTAATTCTGATGCCTTGGTAGGATTCCCCACTCGACCCATTCACTGTTAGGTTCTAATTAACAGTGCTGTTCCTAAAGTGGTGCAAGGAAACAGTAACAAGGCCTGTCTGTAGGGGTGTAGGATTATTAAAGTACTAATACTCCTGCACTAGGGAGTATTAGACTACTAGTACAATCCATAACCTACATAGAACACGAGGCTAATGACCTTAGTTGTTGAAGCCAGACACCAATAAAAAATTTTTTTTAAATGTATACAATTGTTTCGTTTGTAAAGTGGGCTGTTTATTTGGCGGCTGGCTAATTATTTATTTTATAAAACAAATTGACAACTTTTCGCCCTTACCTTTAGCTCAGGCTCGGGCCAGTTTCTCCTGTTGATTTTCCTGTGGGCCCACACTTAACTGAAGAAGCGGTGGCAATGACAATAACGGTTCTCGCTCGAAAAACTGACGTATTTCGATTTCGGTTAATATATACTTGAAGTTGAATGTTGACTGCTCTTCGCACACACTTGACACGTGTGTTTTAATTAACTTTCAAGTCGCTAGGCTCGGGAAGAAAGTATTGTCAATTGGAAAGTAGATATTGATATCAAAAGCGAATATATTAAAATTATACCCGAAAACGCAACAATCTTGAAAATAATTGAAAAGTTTGTCATTGGAATACATCATCTCTAACATAGCGTATAAACAAGTTACCTAACTGAAAATTGCGTTATTGACAGTTTGTATTTGACAACATGACAACACATTGCATTATTTAGATGTTGTGGCGACGTTCGAAACGCAAGCATGACCGTAGTCTAAATAAATACATAATTATTGTAATCGCCTGTATTAGTAGTCATGATACAAAACATTTCAAAGATATGATAGCTGACAAAATCTGGTCGATTTAGCACATGACGTAGTGTGGTGCGGAATATGGCTAATGCTACGTTTGAAAAGTACCTCATTTTGTTTTTTTTTTAATGGATACCGTTCTTTTAATACATCCAAACTCCGTTTGATCCATTGATACTTTTGCTCGATAGTCACCTGACCAAAAAATCTACTTGCTCTGCTCGAGGAGGTACATTTTAAACGTAGCATATCTGAGAATATATTCTTGAATCTCAGAGTATAGAAATTTTAAGGGAAGAATTAGACAAAAATTCAAATTTTGTGCGTTGCGGATAAAGAGAAAAAATCGGTTTTCTATTCCCATGAATTCAAGAATCGCTGCCCTGATGGCAATGGGAAGATTACAATTTATTTTCGCAAGCCGTTTTCGATTAGTTGATACCTCAAATTCGTAAAAGCCACGCCTCCGCACCATAATACGTCATCATGACGTAGTATCAATCTGTGTAATGTCATACCTTTTTAATAGTATCATGTGTAGTAGTGTCTAATTATTGATAAGTGAAGATATGCAGTCATATGCGTGAAAAAATAAGTATTTTTAATAAGTTTATTTTATAAAACTGATTACACAGAGTTTTTAATAATTTTTATTTGTCATTAATTTAAAATGATCCATTGTCACCGCGAAGCACTACTTGCGGAAGGGGGTCCAACAATTAATACTAATATATTTTTATATATAAACTTAATAATTGTCAAAAAAAAAAAAATATTAAAAATAATCATTTTTTCACGCATCTGACTGCATCTCACCCTCTTAATTTTTAACTTCTCTTTTACAGATCCTGATTACCTATTTGAAAACGGCATTTGTCGCTGATATTCTTTTTTCTATTATTTCATTGCTTTTATTGCTATTAAGAATCGCGTAAATCACCTCAAATAATTCCTTGTTTTTCATTAAGTATTTGGTTAAACTTTAAGGTGCTATTCAAAGATTCATATAAACTTAGGTCCAAAACCACTTACTTTTTTACACCTCATTAGTCACCCTTGCACATGCCACTGGCAAATCTAGGATAGTTTTTTTGTTTATCATTAAATTAAAATGTCCATCAAGTTTCAACTTAATACTAATTTTCGTCTTTTACTCTCTATTCAACTTAAACAAAAGTAACGCCTAAACACACGTAGCCCCATGACCAGGGCATGATACGCACAAGCCCAGTGATCCAGTTTTGAATGTTACCCGACTAGACTAATCCATTCATTCATTATTAAGCCCTTTTTATTGCAATCGATCAAATTGTGTTTATTATTACGCAGACAGAGCTGTTGCATCGGCTGTCGCATTAGAAAGAAGGAGACAGCTGATAATTTGAATAGGGATGATTTGTGCGAGTATGTTTTTCTGAGGAGCGAGCTTGCGTTTTATGAATGAATCAGTATTTACGTCTACTAAACTTGCTTTACACGGCTGTCACACTTCAAAATTAATTCAGTACTTTGCTGATAAACACTACAATATAATGTAATTTTGAAAGCCTTTTGTGCACTTTAGAGCTTTATGTTTAGTCAATACCGAATTAAAACCATAAACATCCCTTGTACAATACTCTCTCATAATAATTTGACAACCATGTGGATGACTCCTTGAATGTTTGAAATTCGATATTTGTAAACAAAATTAGTCTATTAGTTTTTCGTCGTTGATGTTTCCCTATCCTCTAGCTCAGTACGCTGTGGTCATGGGGCTAGTTTTGTTTACGCGTTACTTGTGTTTAAGTTGAATTATTTAGTTAATTAATAACACCCTGTATTTTCATAATAAAGTCATTTAGGACCTTAGATAAAAGAGACCAGAGATATAACATACACCGGTGTTTAACCTGCGCAAATGTTGCCAATTTCTAAAGAAAGGTTAACGGAGTGGGGGAACTGGGCAGGGACCCGAACTCTGTGACAGGGACCGGACTTTGTTTATTAGCATCAAAATGAACTATCAGATTTATTTAAAATATACGTTCAATGGAATTTTGTATTATGAAATAAATTTAACGTGATTTTTTAATATCAAACAGATGCCACGACATTTTATGTAAAGAGAAGATCTTTTATAGAATATTTCGTTAGCTATTATTTACTACGGACTTTTATGTAAGAGACTACAGTAAAATGTTAAAATAGAATATTGTTAATCGAGTAAAAAATGGTACTCATTGTCTTAAGAGTATTATAAAAAAGCATGTGCGCAGGCGAATACTGCAAATCAAACCTTATGAGTTGAACATTATATTTTTTCTACGACTATCACATAATATTAAAAATTAGTCAAAATGAGAAAATGCTGATTTGTATTATAACCTCAGAAAAAGCTATATTAAAGCTTGTTTCTTTAGGAATATTTATTAATATAGAGATGAGTCACATAAAACTCTAGAAATGCATATGTCTGAAACCAGATAACATTTTAAAATTTAAACCTATTAAAAGTCATTTGGTCGCTAGGAGTGGTTGATTATCGAAATAAATTATTGATTATTAATAATAATCGATTATTTTCAAACAATCTATTTTTGTTCGTATTTCCTTCAAAATCTTTGAAAAATGAAAAATAGATTAATTAAAAAGCCAATTAACCGATAAATAAGTTTTTACAAAAAATAAACGAATTATCGTTTATTTTAAATAATCGATTATTTTTAAATAATCTATTTTTTTTTTCGTATTTATATTGAAACCTATTATTCGATAATCTTTGAAAAATCTAAAATAATCGATTAATCAAAAATAATCGATTAATTAAAAAGTCGAATATAATCTCTCTTTTTGTAATCCCTTTATAATCGATTATTCCATTACCTAAAAAAAAACGAAAACAATTTATTAAAAATGTTCGATTAATCAAAAATAATCGATTAATTATAACGGATAAATCGATTTTCATGAAAACGATAAATCGATTATTTTTGGAACTCCTATCGGTCGCATGCTTTTATCCGAGCATTTAGCTCCAAAATTTGGAGATTCGGATTTATTGATCCTGTTATCTTTGAAACCGCATTCGATTGTATAATAAATATTGCTAAAATTTAGATTTTTTTTTAGTAAACGAAGGGTTATTTAGGGGTTTATAATGTAACATTTTACTAATAATATGACTAATTTCCGTAACTTTAGTATTTTTTGCTTATACTAGATCATATTGAACGTTTTACTTTATTTTAAGACTTAAGATTCAAATGTCACTTCCGATTTAACCGCAAATAAAATGAACCTTGAAATTTTAAGTAGGTGAACCTGTATTTCATCTAATATTCTTGTAAAAATACCTAATAAAGGGCTAAAAACCACCTTTAGTAAATATTCTTATAAAACTATTTTTAAAAAACAAAATTTCGTTAGTAACAATGCCTATTTACTTCTTATTTAGATTAAATGTTTAAATGTTACTCTTTTGTAAATTAATGCATTATGAAATCTATTTTCTGAAATATTATGTATTTGATGCTTAATATTTATTGTAACCCCTTAATGCGGATCTGAAGTATTCAGCTCAAAAAATCATGGCGACTTTATGTCAAAACGTCAACAAATATTTACCGCTGAAAACGAATATATTTCTTATTTTTCATAACATTGACACTTATATTATTTGTATATACAATTTTTCACCATACATCGTGGCATTTTCAACTTGAAATTGAATAACTAAAACACTTTAAATTGCTAATAAACCAACAAATAATTCAAAAAACGGCGGTACATAATGATTTACTCACGCGGAGACAAGCATAGAATAGAAATTTCGGAGCAATTCGGGTGGCGTCGTGAACACAATGATTTTTAATTGGTGGGTTACTTGGATTTAAAATAGACAACATGCGCAGTGTGCAATGTTACATCTCCGGTCTCTTTTATCTAAGTTTAGGACCTATATTTTCCTAAACTTTTTGTCTTAAAATTGAGCAAGGAATAGCACCTTAACGTTTGACTACATACTTAATAATCTCACTACTTATATATCAACTTATGAAAGTAATTAAAAATTTTTAGATTGACCCTATAGAAAAGCAATTGTACAAGCCATTTCATGTTTATGGATTTGACGTATTAAGTGCTGGAAGTTCTTACAGTAAATTTGGAAGTATTATCGGATTACCAATTAATTTTACATATTCCAACCCTAACACAATTGATAAATCAAAAATGAAGGTAAAGTTTGTTATATACAGGGTGTCCCATTAGTGCGTAATTGTTCAATATTTCAATTTGTGTTATAAACACGGAAAAAAGTTTCAAAGAAAAATTATATGTATTTGAAAAATAGTTTTGGATGTACAGGGTGTTGCGTGTTTGACTGGCAAATAAAAATTGATGTTTTTTAGAATGGTTTGGTAATACTGTATCTAACCCTAGAATGTTTTTATAAAAATATAACAGTGTTGCCAAGCAATATTTTTTTTTTTTTTTTAATTAAAGAATGATGCAGACTCCAAATTAAACAACATAATTTAGGGAGGTTTACATTGATTTTAAAATTGTTTAATATACAGACTTATGAGATATTAAGCTAACGAATGGAGGTTATAGAACTGGTTTATATTATAGAGAGTGTTTTAAAACATGTCTTAAATAAGGCTAATTTTAAGTTTAATTTACTCAATTTTTTCAAATGCCACACCCTGTATATTATCTTAGCATAAAATTCTTTATAAACAACCCCGCACAAATCTTATGGAAATTGGCTGAAATTTGGATATGTTGTTCGTTTCGATATCCTGAGCAAAAGTCTAAATGGGCACCAAGCTCAATTTTGCTTATTTTGGCTCCTACGGAGTTCCAACGATCCATTGACCATTATTTACTACTTAAAAAGGCAATCTCCTCGAAAGTTTAGTATTTGCTGCGTTAAAAAAGAAGTACCTTCTTATGTTTTCAGGGTCGCTGCATTCAATGCCAATATAATAGTATTGACAGTTGACGGCTGTCAACTAGCTGTCAAACAACAAGCAATAATCAAAATTGATAAAATCCACATGTAAATATCTGTTTTTGAGGTTGGTAAGTTCAAAACTGATGTTAACAACTCGATATTGACAGTTGACAGCCATCAACTAACTGTCAAACAGTATGTGAGAATCAAACATTGCGTTCGGTCTGCCAAGTTCCTTTAACACTTTTAACTCCAAACGACCCTTTTAGCGTTTGGTTTAGTCCGATTAGTGACAGTTTAACACGCTTAAATGTCATTTAGAAGCACCCTAAAAAACTCCGCTGTTGTCCCGCTCCAGCCCCTGACTATCCGAACTCGCCTAAAATTGACAAAATTCAGGAGTAAATAGATGTCTTCGAGGTTGCTGAGAAAAAACTGATGTCAAAAAGACGATATTGACAGTTAACAGCTGTCAACTAACTGTCAAACTAATAATACTATTCGAGATGCAAGAAACCGTCCACAATAAGTAAACTGTAATATTACATTATATTTTCCTAAATGCATTGATAAAAATCTAAAAGACTCAAATCGGAGTTATAATTTTTCTTTAACTATTCTTAAAATAGGACGATATATATCGTCCTGTATTATAAATAGGTTGATAAAAAATATCGTGAGATCATAGATCCAATAAAACAGTCGGCCCTTTTCGGGGCCAAGATGTACAAAAACCTCCACGTGGTGTACATTGGGTAACGCTAACGCTAGAAATAAATATTGTTGTGGTTTGACAGTTATTTGACAGCTGTCAACTGTCAATATCAAGTTTTTAACATTAGTTTTGAACTCAGCTGCCTCAAAAACATATATTTACATGTGGATTTTATTAATTTTGATTGTCACATAATGTTTGACAGTTAGTTGACAGCTGATCACTGTCAATATCGTCTTTTTGACATCAGTTTTTTTTCTCAGCAACCTCGAAGACATCTATTTACTCCTGAATTTTAATTGTCACATACTGTTCGACAGTTAGTTGACAGCTGTTAACTGTCAATATCTAGTTGTTAACATCAGTTTTGAACTTACCAACCTCAAAAACAGATATTTACATGTGGATTTTATCAATTTTGATTATTGCTTGTTGTTTGACAGCTGTCAATATTATTATATTGGTATTGGATTTGAATGCAGCGACCCCGAAAACATAAGAAGGTACTTCTTTTTTAACGCAGCAAATACTAAACTTACAAGGAGATTGTCTTTTTAAGTAGTAAATAATGGTCAATCCATGGAGCTTTGGAGCTCCGTAGAAGCCAAAATAAGCAAAACTGAGCTTTGTGCCCATTGAGACTTTTGCTCAGGATGCCGAAACGAACAACATATCCAAATTTCAGCCAATTTGACCGGGAGCCAATTTCCATAAGATTTGTGCGGGGTTCTTTGTCTATACAACTATAGCAATATGTTAGCCAATAAAACATATACAGGATGTCCCATCATTGCGTAATTGATCGATAGCTGTTTTATTACTAGAAATACGAAGAAATATTTAATATAAAAGTTATATGACCATATTTAACAATTACTTTTAAATATACAGGATGGTCCATAAAGGAGGTGCTAATCAAATCTATACTTTTTAAATCAAAACACAGGTAGTTATACATATTTGATAGTTTGCACATCGTCAAACAATTTTAATCGACTTCACACTGATTTGCTATGTTGTATATAGAGTGTGTCAAAATGCGAGGTTATGATTTTCTCAATTTTTTAAATGGAATACCCTGCATTAATTAATTGGTGGTATAACATATACCATTTAAAAAATTGAGAAAATCGTTACCCCGCATTTTGACACACCCTTTATACAAGATAGCAAATAAATGAAGTCTATTATATATTGCCTTATTCTTAAAAAACATAAATATTTTAATTATGTTTCATCACAATGATATTTACATGAAACTTATCAAGCAGTAGAATAATAGTCTGTATTTTTTATTTGTTCTAGATAAATGATGAATCAATTGTTTGGGACTCGGAAGCAGCACAAAATCTTTTAAATTCTTTAGTTATATCAGAAAATGGACAACTATATGCAATAGCTAGAGAAATAAAATATAGGCAGTCTCCAAAACCAATACTGGATACTTTTTTGAGTGTAAACACAGTCTTAATGGTTTACGGAATAAGTAAACAAATAAATGAAAAATTCAATTTCTATGCCAAACCTTTAGGATTAAGACTTGCTTTGTATTCAATTGTAGGAGTATTTGGTTTTGGGTTTTATGCAATGGCTACAGATGTTTCTCAGGTTTATTATGAAGGACAAATTGATAAAGAATTGAAAGAAAAAAGTGAACTATTTATTGACGGGGGCAAAGAATATTACAGTAAACTCTTAGAAAGAAATAAAGCTCTTAGGTATTTACTTGGAAAGGAAGGAGAAAGACTTTATAGTGTTCTGGGCAATGATAATTATTTATTGAGACAGAAACATATTCCACTTGTGCAAAGAAAAACACATTTTGAAGAATACACAGCGACTGTATGAAAAGTGTCTAAAACAGTCACAAACTTTGTTATTTATTAGAAAGTAGTTAGTTAATTTATAAGGAAATATAGTACTTTTTAAAAAAATTCGTATTGTGGTTATTAATCCTAAAATTTACAGATCATCCTTATCATTTTTAAAACTTTGATAGTTCTTCCTTAATTTTATCCCACTTTCCCCAATTCTATTAGTATATTAAGTAGATTTAAAATTATTCCATGACCCAAGAAGCACAGAAGAGTGGATACGTAAAGTCCCTCTAGGAGGGTCTGTGAACCGTAATTACAACTATTAAGAATAGCGCAGGGATTGAAGTGGCGAATGATCAAATTCAAAATGTCCTTATGACTGTCTATGAGGAAAACTACCATCTAAATCAGGAAACGCTAGTCTTGTTCGCGGTCTCCCGAAATTTTTTGGAAAAGATGGGAGAACGCGATACGAGCGAACAAAGCTCGAGAATACCAAGTGAAAATGCATGCGTTATAAAATATGGGAAAAATCTTCACTGCTGGCGGTCGAGACTAGCACATACTGCGATTGCCTAATGCGTCCCCTCCTTAAAGGAGAGAAGTGACCTAGGGGGAACTCCATGGTGCAGCAGACTGACGTCATTATGACATCTTATTTTCGTCATACAGGACGTCATTTATCATCTCAGAACTAACGTGATAATGACGGTAAAATGACGTGAATATGTCACAGCCCAAATGACGACATATTTAGACGTCCTTTTCACGTCTGATATATGACGTATTTATGACGTTTACTAGTAGCCTTTATAACGTCATTATGACATTTTTATAACATTGTTTTAATGTCACCTTCGTCGTTATTTGAGTCGTCACCATGACGTTATATTTGATATTGTTACTCCTTTGTAACTTTTCTATAGGAACTGTGGGTCACTTAATAAAACAAAATTAGAAAATGAAATAATTATAATTAAAAACAATTTAAATATATGAAATGTTATTGGCAAAAAAACATTAATTTATATAAATTCAACTGCTCCAAATGTGGCCAACTTGTTCGTTATTATTTTGGTTTGGCACAATTATGAAGACTACGGGCACATTTAAATTCTATAATGATTTTTCTATGAGTGCCGCCATTGTATGCTATTTCACGAACCTGGGAACATTTTAGGAAACAGCCGAGGAATGTAATAGATATAAAATCATTAAAGAATAAGGAAAATATAGATATAAAAATACTAAAAGTCACATACCTTATGCATATAACTTTTTTCACTGACCTCTTAACTTTTAACGACAATCCTGAATGCACACGGGCCACGATGTACACACCAGTACACATGGCCGATGCAACAATCCGCGATACCGTTCTCGTGCTTGCTCGAACACACACAGACCGATAACCACAGACAGACGCAGTCATGTCTCACGTGGTGTCATTCAATCTTTATGCATTTTATACCAAGAGATTTAAACATTAATAGACCTAAGAGTTTTAAACCATAATTGTTTAGGCCATATCATTTTAATTAATAAAATGTATTGAAATCACGTTTAATATAAACCTTAATTTAATAGTGACAATAAATTGACGTCACACTGACGTCGAATTTGTGACGTCAAAAAGACGTTAAAGAAGTGACGTCATAATCACCTCGTTTTTTGGTAACATGACGTCGATGACCAAGTATTACCAAAAAATGTCGTCAGTCTGCTGCCTGGGTCCCTAACGGGGTACTACAAGGAGGAAGTTCTGTCAGAGTATCAGATTTATCTACCATCCTTCACAAGATTCTCGCCAAAGATCCGGAACAGTTAACCAACTCGATAAAAAGATCCGATGACACACCTATACGGATTCTGAAAAGTTAGAGATTCTTTTACAGAAACACTCCTCAGGCAGTCAAATTCTGTATGACGGACAACCTGTACCCATTTCTTATACATAATCGACCATGCGACCCAACAAGGGGTACTGGAATTACGTTGTATAGGTTGTTTCTCCGAGAAATGTGCAATTAATTTATTATCCTCTTTCAAATCACCTGATGGCATATTTCCTGCCCTGCAAAAAGAACAGAAACCCTTGCTACCCCTCCTCGTGAGGCTATTTAGAGCAAGCCTGCCGTGGAGCTATATCCTGCTAGGTTGGACGATGACGAAAGTATATACGCAATGCTGGTAGAGTAGATACCGCCATCCCACATAGCACACGGACGTCTAAAAGACGTCCTTTAGGGACATAAAGGACGTCCGAGGGACGTCCTATTATGGTACCGGGACGTCCCATGGACGTCCTAATGTCCCGTTTCCGTCCATCTTAGGGACATCCCAAAAGGACGTCATAGGGACCTTTTCGGGACGTCCTAGGGACGTAAATCAGACGTCCGAGGGACGATATTTGACCATAATCCATAAAGGGTAATAATAACAAAAATGTTAACAATAAAAGAGCTTTATTTAACAACTTTTATTCTAAAAAAACTAGCTAGAGTTAAACGTATTCAGTTTACAAAAAAAAAAAAAACAGCGCTGGCAAGATGAAACCTTGGGTCCTACTTATAGCTTGTGTCGACATAACTGAGTATTATAATTTTGTCAAAATTAGTTTTGTTCCAACTTTCCGCCATTAAGGTATTTTCTTTCCGCCAGCGGCTACCGCCAATACAAATCACTTATTGTCACCTCAACACAAAACACTCACTTCAATTTATAACCACTTTAAATAAAAAAATAACAAATAACACTATATAACCTTCTTTTTTCTTCGTTAATCTAACTCACTTATATAAGTTAATTATTGAGTGCCGAAAATTGTAGCTGTTGTTGTTCATTTAAAAATAAATGATAGGTTAGGTTTTCTGTTCTCATACTCTTGCAAAAACAAAACGTTGAATTTCAAGTTATCGATTCAAAGAGCAACGATGCTAGTACATAGAAAGTCCCATAGACGTCCCATTAACGTCCCGGACTCGGACCGAAAACTAAACGCTTTGTCGAAACGGGACCAAAATAGGACGTCAAGAGGACGTCCTTCTAAGGACGTCCTAGTGTTCACTGTAATCGGAAGTCCAGTGGACGTCCTATTTAGGTCCGGGACCAACTACATAACTCTCTTTTGAAGGCACTAGAGAGAATTGTATTCTAGAAAGAACAGCCTGTAGGCCCGTTTAACTCCTTTCAATTAAGCCTACCAAGTAGGCAGATCGCGCTAGGTGCCTTCCTAGACAGTAGACATAGCCCTTTCTCAGTCCCTGTTCGCTTCTATTAAGAAAAGAGAAATCGACAAACTACCTGTTACTGAATCAAAAGTATGCTCAGAAATTAGAACATAATTTCATCACAGGAGGGAGAAAGAGAGTTTTACTTTCAGGCCTGCCAGGGGATGTACACAAGGCGGTGTATTTTCATTCCTATTATGGACCAATCTGGTGGATAATCTGCTAAACGATCTCTTCCGGCAGGGGGTAGATTTCCAATGCTAGACTTCGAGAAGGTTCCCATCCTGGCATACTAGATCGAAACCTCCTTGACCCCACCAAATCCCCTCCCCGCCGCTGTCTTCGCTGTAGGGAACCTCGAGTTCAAAATAATTTTATTTGTATGCTATTCCTTCTAAAAGGGCTTTTGAAGGATGATATACTCTTGTCATTTAGACAGTGCGCTGCATATGGCCTACCACTGTTGCATCATCTATTTTGTGTATCTTGTGTGTGCAGCTTGTCACTTTACATACTTGTTGCATAAATAACTATAATATTTCGGTAAAACTGATGTAAGGTCAAGTTGGTTAACTGGAACCTAGAGGTAACTGAGCCCTATACTTCTAATTTTGTAATCAAATATTTTAAACTTCCCGCGCTTTGTAACATGACAGCTATCATCCAAAGCTTCTGTTATATCTAGTTTTTAAGTTCTTGCTGTGGGTATCGTAACGACAATATTCATGTTAAAGTATTTTTTGGTAGAAGAATAACAACGTTGGGCACTGACGTATTAAAAAAATCGCAGTAAGTACAATAATACATTTTTTAACATGAAAATCGGCCTGGTATAAGAAAAAGCATCTATAGTGTAATTTATTTTAACATTTTAAGGTTATACTAATGAAAACAAGTTTGACTCAAAGAAGTAGAGAGGGTAGAACGATAAGGTACCGTCTGCGCATCCATCACGAGTGTAGAAATTATGCGTGATTCAACCTTCCACTCTTATACATGTAAATGACAAGGAGAGGTTGCCCTAAAGCACTGTAAACAAATTCCAGGATTGGCTTTGTTCAGCGATTATGTTCATGTTCAGCTCTGTTTTTTGTTTGTTTTGTGGCTGTTGTAAGCTTCTTTGGCGTCAATTCTTTGTTATCTTGCGTATATTTGTGATTTTTTGTGCTTTTATTTCAATTTAGTATTAAATTATACTTGTTAATTATTTTCCGATGCACTATTTTATAATTGTTATACCGTCCCTGAATCTTGTTTACAAAATGTGCAAAACGAAATTGTACATAGTGTCTAGACTTTTTCATTGACAGTTATCATTCTACCCCTCTCCACTTCATTGGTTTGACTGTATAGGTTCCAGTTGCCATGGTAAATTCGATATGATGAGGCAATTGGAACTTAAGTTTTCGGGTAACTGGGTCTGGGGTCTATTCTGTAACAATTCCTTTATATTTAACGGCCTTTAAAAATATTTTATTCTTTACTTCTGTCATTATTTAAACGGATCTTTAAAATAACCTTAGAGGACTATCTTAAAGAAATCTGCTTAAATAATGACAGAAGTAAATTAACGAATACGAACATATGTTTAAAGGCCGTTAAATATAAAGGAATTTTTACAGAATAGACCCCTCTGTAGGTTTCAGTTACCCAATACAGTTGTATTGTAACTGTTAGTTTGATATTTTAACGTTTATCTTCTATTTTATCCTACTGCAAATAAACGTGCATAAAAGTGACAGTACTAAAATTTTCAGGACATAATGGCAAAGTATATTAACCGTTGAGTAGCGACATAAAGCGTCGGTGCCTTTGATCTTGGGTGGTGCGAATTTTCTTTCTCTCTTTTTTGACGTTTTGACCACAGACATCGATAAAGGAG